TGTGCATTTATTGCTATAAATTGGCCTCTGATCACTGTTTTTTCTGTGTCCAAAGATTTTAGTATGCTGTGTTTTCATTCTCATTTGATTCAAGGATTTTTTTTTTTTAATTTCACTTTTCATTTATTCTATTATCCAGTCATTTTTACGGAGAATGTTATTCAGTTTCCATGTGTTTGCTCTTTTTCCATTGATCTTCCTATTGTTGATTTCTAATTTCATAGCATTGTGATCTGAGAAGATGCTTTGTAGTATTTCAATGTTTTAAAATTTGTTAAGGCTTGCTTTGTGGCCTAACATATGGTCTTTCCTGGAGAATGTTCCATATGCACTGGAAAAGAATGTATATTGTGCCATTGTTGGATGAAGTATTCTGTAGATGTCTATAAGGTCAAGTTGGTGGATTGCATTATTTAATTCTTCTGCCTATTTGTTGAGTTTCTTTCTAGTTGTTCTATCTTTCATTCAAAGTGGTGTATTAAAGTCTACTGCTGTAAACCAAAAAAAAAAAAAAAACCTCACTGCCATGGAGTTGATTCCGACTCATAGCGACCCCCTTTGTGTTTCAGAGGTGATAAATCTCTATAGAAGTAGATCGCCCAGTCTTCCTTCCATGGAATGGCTGGTGGGTTTGACCTGCCTGCCTTCTGGTTAGCAGTCAAATACCTTACGCACTGCACTTCCAGAGCTCCTTACTATGATGTGGAGTCATCCTTTTTTCTTTCTTTCTCTCTCTCTCTTTTTTTTTTTTTTTTCAATTCTGTTAAAGTCTGATTTATGTATTTTGGGGCTCTTTCATTAGGTGCATAGGTACTTATTATGCTTATGTTCTTTTGTTCAACAGATCCTTTAATCATTATATAATGTCCTTCCTTGTCTCTTATGGAGGTTTTTGTCTTAAAATGAATTTTATCAGAAATTGATGCTACCACCCCTGCTGTTTTTTGATTGCCGTTTGCTTGATATAGCTTTTCCAACCTTTGATTTTTAGTCTATTTTTGTCTTTAAGGTGTGTCTCTTGTAGACAGCATATTGATGGGTTATGTTTTATTATCCAGTCTGCAATTCTCCATCTCTTGAGTGATGCATTTAATCCATTGACATTTAGTGTAATTATCAACAAGTGTGAATTTGTTGCTGTCATTTTGTTATGTATTTTTTTGTGATGTTGCTGATTTCTTTGTTCCATAGAATTTTCTGTATTGAGCTCATTTTATTTATGAATTGTGTTATCATTTCCTTCATTGCTATTGTTTTAGCATTTGCTAAATATTTGTGCTTGTCCTTTATTTTGATGTGAAGGTTTATCATTTTTCTTTGAGGTTACCCTGTGATTTTCTTCCCAAGTTTAGAACAGTCTGTTCTATCTTGCAATTGTCTTGACTCCTCACCATTTAGAAGTTCTGTAACTACACAATTTTTTCCCTCTTTTTGCTTTGTAGTTGTCCTCATTGGCCACTTCATGTCTCTGGTCCCTGTTTACAATCTTGTAAGCTTATTTTACTTAGGAAACTTCCATAACTGTGTTAGTTTTGGGGTTAATTTCACCATCATATTTGAGGGACAATTTTATTGGGTATATAATTCTTGTTGGAAATTTTTTTCTTACAGAGTTTTATATATACCACCCCATTGCCTTCTCGTCTGCATGGTGTCTGCCAAGAACCCCAAGCTTAGTCTCATTGGTTGTCCTTTATAGGTAACTTTTCTTTTTTGCTTGTGCTGCTTTCAGGATTCTTTCTCTTTGTCTTTGGTTTTGGTGAGTTTAATGATACTTCTTGGTGATTTTCATTTGGGGTCTATCCTGTTTGGGTTTCATTGGACTTCTTGAATGAATATATTCTCGTCTTTCATCAGGTCAAGGAAATTCTCTTCCAAAGAATATTCACCAATTTTCTCTGTGGTTTTGTCTCTTCCTGTTCTAGAATTCTGATTACACGTAGGTATTCCTTTTGATGGTATCCAACATGAATCTCAGGCTTTCTTCATTTTGTTTTGATCTTTTTTCTGATTGAGCTCTTTCCAAAGACATATTGAGATATTTGTATTCAATCTCACTAATTTTGTCTTCCACTGATTCAATTCTACTCCTTTGCCTAGTCAATGTGTTATTTATTTCTGCAAATTTAGTATTAATCTTCTGTATTTCTACCTGTAGATTTTGTATCATTTCTAATTTTTCATTTATTTTGTTCTTGTATTGCTCTAGGGTTTTGTCTGTGTTTTCCTTAATTTCTAAGTGTTTTCCTTGGTCTGTCTCTCAATTCATTGAAGGTATCTAAATATAATTCTTTTGAATTCCTCATCAGGGAGTTCCAATGCTACTTCTTCCTCACGGATATGTTCTGGGTATGTATCCTAGTCCCTTGTTTCTACTGCTTTGTCTTGCTTCTTTGTGTGGAGAGTGATGATCTGTTGTCTCTGAGACATTGTGACTTTTTTTTTTTTTTAATTGCGTAGTTAATTGGAGAGATTTGCCCAAGATTTTCATTTTGTTTTTTTAGTTTGGATGATTCTGAGTAAGCAGAGTAATGTACTCCTCTATTCGCTAGTTGGCAGCCCTTATGCACTCACCACCTGTCTCCTGGTGGCTGTGATAGAGAATGAAAGTGGGTGCACAGATCCCTGTTAGCGGTTTGTGAAGAGCAGTTAAGGATGAGTCAAGTTCATATTGTTTGTCATGTATCATTGGCCAGTTGGTACAGAAGCAAGTGGTGGCCCTCACTCAGTAGGTGGGGCTGCAAGAGGTATGTGTATGGTTGAGTAGTATGGGCATGGTTGCAGTCACCCACTCAGTTAGACAAAAACAACAATAAAAAAAAAAACACCAAAAAAAGTAAAAACAGGAGGACAAAAAACACACACACACACACACAGTGTAAACACAGGAACAGTCACCAAAAAGAGAAGAAAAAAAAAAAAGAGGAAAGGCAGTAAATGAGAAGAAATATTTAAAGAAATACTTTAAAAAGACAAAAGAAATATAAATAGAAAAAGAGAGGGGAAAAAAACCCACCATATCTGTTTAGGAAGGAATAAGAGAAAAGAGCTGGAGTAAGAGAATAATGAAGAGAAAAAAAAAAGAAAGAAAGAAAAACAAGTATAGGAAGAAGCACAAAAAAGGAGGGGGAAAAAAAAGGAAACCAGGAAAAGGGAAGAGAAAAAAAATGCCAAAAACTAGAACTTGGGAAGGGAAAAAGAAAGAAAAAGGAAAACAGAAAAAATAAAAATAAATAAAATTAAAAACAAAAAACAAATCAGGGCATGGGAGGCACCCAGGCTCTGTCAGAGCACACAGACTGGGATAGAATTCCTGCCAGCCCAGAAGGTGGGTGGGGGTGAGGGATCACCACGCCTCTGTTCACCAAGAGGGTGTAGGGTATAAGGATAACAAGGGGAATGTTGTACATTTCCATTCATCAGCCTCTGGTATGTCCATGCTATCCTCAGCAAGCAGAGCCTATTCTTAGGTCCCTGGAATCTGAATGAGAATGCTGTCACTTAAATATCTGAAATGGCCGCATCCCTTGTAAGCATTCAAAATGACTGTGCCCTTTGGACAGCCAAAAGTCCACAGCTCAATTTGTCTCCTTCTTTGCTGTTTCCCTTTTTAGTCATCAGCCACCAGTGCAGTCGTCCATGCAGCTCTTGGGGAGCAGGGCCAATTTTTAGGTTTAATTCTCAGGTCCAAACACCACGTGGAAATATTCAAACTGTCTGTGCCATCAGGATAGCTGACAGCCCACAGCAATTTTTCTCCTTATTGAATGTTTTCATTCAAGTTCTTCTACTCAAAAATCCAAACTCACTGCCATTGAGTCATTTCTGATTCATAGTGACCCCTCCTTGGGTTTCTGAGGTGTTATCTCTATGGAAGTAGATTGCCGGTTAGGTGTTTCCTGACACACACACACTGCTTTATCTTGCTTCTTTGTGTGGACTGTGATGGTCTGTTGTCTCTGAGACATTGTGACTTTTTGTGCTTGTATTTATTGGTGTATTTAATTGAAGTGATTCACTCAAGATTTCCATTTTCTTTTTTTAGTTTGGATGTATCTTTTTTTAGTTTGTATGTGTGTGTTTGGGGGGCTCCCATGAAGAAGGGATGCTTAGAATATGGTCCTCTTGCTTTTCTGTTAAGACTAGTTCACTGCCGTCAAGTCAGATCCAACTCATAGTGACCCCTCCTTGGGTTTCTGAGTGGTATCACTATAGAAGTAGATTGCCCAACTTTCCTTCCAAGGAGAGGCTGGTGGGTTTGAGCCACCAGCCTTCTGGTTAGCAGTCAAATGCCTTAGGCACTATGCCACCAGAGCTCCTCCATTAAGAATAACAATAATGTTTGTAAGTCTTCCCTGAAAGATGTTGGGCATCCCATCTACATCCACAATCCTGAGGAGGGAGAGGAATGTGGAGAATTCAGAGTCTACAGAGCATAGGCGGTTGGTGGGCTGATCTTTGGGCTCATTCATGGGAGAGAAGGATCAGGCCTGAAGCTGTATGGCGTGGGGTTGGATTTAAGATTGCAGGAAAACCTCCAGGTGGAATGTGGAGGGATCTGATAGACTCCTCAGAGGGGTGGAGAGGGCAGATGGGGACGAGGGTACCAAAATTGGTTATGTGCACAGATCCTGGGGGAGACCACAGCAGCCCCAGCCCAGGCTGTGTAGAGTCCTGAGTGATTTGCTGCTGTTGCAGGCTCACATCCTCATCTGGATTGCCAAACTGAGAGGCCCCTGGAGCCATTCCCAATCTATTTCCTTCTATTCTTTGACAGGAAGCTCCTGGAGAGCCAGCCCCACCCCCACCCCGCCCCAGCACTCCCTCTCTCTTCTCCACTATGGACAGAGCCTCCTCGGAGAGCGGAGAGCGGCTGCCTGCCCACCACATACCCAGCTGACATGGATTCCTTCGGAGCAACGCAGCTGTGCTGGGTGATCCTTGGCTTCCTTCTACTCCAAGGTAAGAGATGGCTGCTGCTTTCCTCCAGCAGTTCCTCTCCGGAGGCTGGCAGTCCTGGACACCAGTCCCTCCTTCAGGACACAAGGCACTCTCCATCCAGGGCTCTCCCCAAGGGAAATTCCAGGGACTTTTCACAAGGAGTATCAGTTGAATTGGGGGGTGGTCATTACTACCCAAGCCAAATTCACTGCCATGGAGTTGATGCCGACTCATAGCGATCCCATAGGCCAGAGTAAAACTGCCCCCATAGTGTTTCCAAGGCTATAAATCTTTACGGAAGCAGACTATTTCATCTTTATCCCGTGGTTTTGAACTGCCGACTTTCGGGTTAGCAGTCCAATGCTTTAACCACTGTGCCACCAGAGCTCCTTGGTCGTTATGAGGCGGTGGTAAAATAGAGATACAATTAAACTCTTTTGTGGGAAAATTTCCAGGGAGAATTGGCGTCAGGAAATGTGGAAGTGGTTGTCTTGGCGTGAGACTGAGGCTGAAAAGCTTCTTCCAGGATGAATGCAGGCCTGAGAAGTGTGGTTCCTCTATCAATCTTCACCCTCTAGTCTGGGTGCAGGGTTGAACACAGCATCTCTGTCAACTGTTCTAGGACAAAATTGTCTGCACCTTAGGCTTTTTAGGTGACCTTTTTTCTTTTTTCATATGACAATTAACAATCTGAGAATTCCAAATATTAACAGTAAGCTCAGTCACAGCCAGAGGGACTCAAATTGGACACAAAGAACTGTTTGTCAAGGAATATTTATGCAACAGCCTCACCCAGGAGGCTAGATGAGAGGACCTCTAGAGGAGGTCAGAAACAACACCTTTCAGATGTGGCTTTGCCAGCTGAAGGCTCATGAAGCTCATAAGCAAAAAACCAAACCCACTGCCATCGAATTGATTCTGACTGATAACAACCCTATAGGACAAAGTGGAACCTCCCTACAGGGTTTCCAACACTATAAATCTTTACAGAAGCTGATTGTGGTAGTTAAGGTTGTATGTCAACTTGGCTGGGCCTGGTTGAGTGGCTGGGCAGCTGGATGTAGTTATTCCCCATGGTGAGATTGGTGATTAACTCCATCGTGGAATCTACTGGAGCAGCTGAGTAGCTGCTTTAGGGATGTGAGCTACTTCCAGTGTATAAGCAGCAGCTTTGAGGAAGGTCTGTAGCTTTTGGCACACTTGAATCCTGCACGTAGCCACGTTGTTATTGAGCAGCCTGCCATGTTTCCTGCCAAACTTGGGACTGTTAATGGGACTTAAATCAATGGTCTGCCGAGTGGTTTGGTAACATTGGCACTGTGCCATCTTATTGGTCGACCTTGGGCTTGTTAGCCTCAGTAGCCACCAGCTGTATGAGTGAAGGGATGCCTCTAGCTTCAGCAGGCCGGGAGCAGGAGGCAGAGCGGAAGCCCAAGATCGAGGGGCTTTCACCCAGCCTCTAGACCTGGCACTTTGAACTCAGACTTCTAGCCTCCCAAACTATAAGAGAATAAACTCCTGTTTGTCCAAGCCATCCCATTTGTGGTATTTTCTGTTAGAGTAGCACAAAGTAACCAAAACACTGATCTTTATCCTATGGAGCATCTGGTAGATTCAAGCCATTGACCTTTAGGTTAGCAGCTGAAGCACCACCAGAGCTCCCTGAAGCAGCTCATAAGGGATTCTCTAATTAGGGAGCAGTTTCTGGGAACCATAAAAAATCCAGGAGATTGTGATTCACAGGGCAGCAATTTCCCTTCAGTAATCCCTTGCCTACTTCACCCTCCACAAGTTCTCTGTGGAAGATTTATAAGCCTGTGCTAGAAGCAGTGGCGAGAGAAGCAAGCATACTTTAGATGAGGAGGAGTGATGGGAAATCTATCAAGCTGGCCCTTTCTTGGTTGTGAGGAGAGGGGGGCCAAGTACCAGATCATTCTGCTTCCCGAAGGGGCCATGGGTTAGGGGAATATCTCTGATTACTATCCCCCTCTCCCCAAAGATAGAGTCACAGATTCAATCTGGGGCTGGGGACTAGGCTGTTGTGGAAACTGTGGAGAAATGGCAGAAGAAGAGATAGAGTAAAAGGTAAGACTCAGGAGGTGGCTTTTCATAAACCTAGGCTTTTCCCTGATTCCCTATCCACTGTCATGTCCCAGGCAAGTGCCAAGGATACCAAATGCCCTGATGAACTCTAGCTAAGCCCCAGCAACCCTTCAGTTTCCTAACTTCTCATCCCAAGAGCTTAGAGCACCTATTGTCTCCTCCATTTTGAAGGACTAAAGAATCCTTTTGAGGATATACAGGCCCACAAAAGGGCTTGACTATGGAGATACAGAATCATGGCAGACTTGAGATTTGGAGAATTTGAGAGAATAGGCCAAAAAATAAAAAATGTCTAGCACTTACTGAGTAAGGGTGATCAGCCAGGCACTATGTTAAATGCTTTATAGGCATACCTTGGAGATATTGAGGGTTCAGTTCCAGACCATTACAATAAAGTGAATATTGCAATAAAACAAGTCACACGACTACTTTGGTTCCCCAGTGCATATAAAAGTTATGTTTACACTATGCTGTAGTCTACTAAGTGTGCAATAGCATTATGAAAAAGTTCGAAATGTTGTAAGGATTACCAATATGTGACATAGAGACACCAAGTGAGCACATGCTGTTAAAAAATACTTGCTTGATGCAGGGTTGCCACAGATTTTTAATTTGTATAAAACACAGTATCTGTGAAGCACAATAAATCAAGGGATGCCTATATGTGCACTTTCTCATCCTCACAAAAACCTATGAGGTAGCTACTAATACACTGTAGAGAAGAGAAAACCGAAGCCCAGGTCACACAGTAAGTGACAAAGCCAGAACTTGAACTTAAACCTGTCAGAATCCAAAATCCAAGGTCTTAACTACAAATCTATGCTATTGAAGAAGGGAGGGATTGAAGATGGTGTGGAAGGGAATGAAGTAGGTAGAGATTAGGTAGGAAAAAGCAGGAAAAAAAGAAATTCCTGTGGCTAGCATCCTTTGTGTGCCTTTGTGCCCAGTGGTCAGAGGCACCCTGGCCTGCAGAGGGAAAAGCTCACTAAATCTCTCCCTTACTCACAGAAGAATCTCCACTGGAGACAAAAAGTTCTCGGGGGCGGGGAGCAGGAGGCACAGACAGAGCAGGCAACTGGTACCTGAATGTTATGACTCTGGAACTTCTCCAAAGGCACTAACTGATTTTCTTTCTAGATAAATGCAGGAAGGCAGAATACTGTGCCCTCCACTAAAATATAAAGTTATAATCTTATCGAGTTTAGATGGTACATTCAATATGCTTGATCAGTAACTGATAGGTGTTTTCCAGGTATGCCTTGGATTAAAAGGGTTCTCCCAGGGTCATCCTATCCATCTCCATCCCAGGTGGGAAGCATTCTCTATAGCCACAATTTTTAAGTCTCTTTCTTTATCCCCCACCCAATGGGGCTATCAGAGATGATGACCTGGAAAAATACAGCCCAAAGTTAGTGCAAGCTTAGGCTTGGAAAAAAATTAATTCCATTATCCAAATGATAGCTCTATGGAGGAAGGCAGTGGGTTAAGGAAAATAAACAGACCAGCAGGCTACCACAGAACGGGGCAGGCCCCTGGCACTCAGCCACCTCCATCTACCCTGGCCTGAGTTTAGTAATTCCCTAATGATGAGGGACCAGGGAGCAGGAGGGCCAGGACAGGGGCTGCAGGCCCAGGCTGAACCAAGGGACGGGAACCCAGCTGGGCGGCTCCACTTCCCCACGTTGTTTTCCTTTCACATTGTTCACAGGTTTCAAGAATGATTTCATTATGGAAAATGAGCAAACACAACCTGACCTTCCAGGCCCCACGCACATAGCCAGACTCATACATGGATGGGCATGCACACACACAAAAATCTGCGGAGAGGCTCACAGACATACACGTGTATATGCAAAAAGCAAATGAGAACTTCTGACTGGGGACTTCTGCTGAGCAACTCCTCTCTGGGTTTGGGCAACACCGACTATTTCAGAAGGAGGCCATGACTGCAAGAGTAAACTTCCTGTGAGAGTAAATCGGCCACTTGTTCTAGAGCTCTGTCTCATATATACCTCAGAGCTTGCTTCCTGTGCAGGACTCTCCCTCCAGCTGAGGGCAGATAGAGACACAGCCTAGATACAAACCTTAACCCTTAAGAACCCTATTTTATGAACCACATTTCTCCATCCCTTTTCTTTAGAGTAGATACAGGATGACATTCTTCACAGGGAAAATGAAAGCCCCAACGAAAGAGTAGCAAGAACATTAACGTAGGGACCTGGAGTCCTGGGTTCTTGTTTAGAAAGGTCACTGGCCTTCTGTTCTTGGACATGTCACCAGTTTAAAAAAAAAACAAAAAACCTTTCCTGACCCACATGGAGTTGGAGAGATGGGAAAGGACTTTGAGACTGTGGACCATGAGATGATGGTGATGGTGCTACTGAGTCACAGTCTCAGAGGAAGCTAGCATCATCACTAGAGCCCACATCCTTTAGTTCTCTGCCAAGTATGTCTGCTTCCAGCATGGATGGCTTAGAAAGCCAAAAGGCCTGGGCTCCACTATGGGCTCTATCTTGGGCAAGGGACTCACCAAGCTAGTCCACGTATTTTGCTTTCTTTTGCAGGCCATAACTCCCAACCTACGATAGTCCAGACCTCTAGCCCTCAGGGTAAGACCAAATACACAGGGCCTACTCTAGGCAAGGTAGGAAGGATGAGAGGAACTCTAGGCCAGTTTTGCATTGACCTCAGGTGACAGGGGCTGGGGTCAGAGATTTCAGGATATCCAAAGCTGAGCTCATCTAGGGCTTTTTTTTTTTCTCCTGCCTGACCCATTCTGGCAAATCTTGAATGAGAAGAGAGACAAATGGTTGGAGGTGGGGCAAGGAGAAAGTCTAGAAAATATCAGATAAAGGGAAGAGGAGAGGGAAACAACAAAAGGTAGCAATGGATCCTTTAGCCTCTGACGATCTCTTTCAGGAGCCTCCAACAGTCTAACCACAGAACCAGTTTCTCCCAACACAGGTGAGTGAGTGTGCCTGATGAAGTGCCAACCCCATCCCACTCCCTGCCATGTCCCCAGCCATTCAGTCCTGTTTGGAGCTCAAGGTTTCTGGTATGGCTGGCAGAGTGTGGTATCACCAAACCTGCCCTTCTTCCAATTCCATATCTGACTCTGTCTTGCAGGAGATGTCCCTGCCTCAGAGCCTAACAGCCCAAGTCCTCTGTCCAGCACTGGTATTCCAGGTACTCTGCCATTCAGACTACCTCATCCAAAGAGGGTCTAGGAAGGAACCAGACACAGTTTCTGCTCTAAAAGAGAATACAAACTAGTGGGGGAACAGACAAGTAAAAAGGACCTCAGATGGACAAAGTGGGTGAGAAGGATTGTAATGGGCATAGGCAGGAGGTGCTATGGGAGCCCAGAAAAATACCAGTCACTTCAAATTCAGGGGGTGGGGCAACGAAGACATCTCAGAGTAAATGACTTTGGACACTGAGACTTGAGAAGGAGTTAGCCAGATGGAGATTGTGGGGTGGAAGTGATGGGCATATATTCCAGGCAGAAGGAGCTACACAGGTAAAGAAAGGCTCAGAGGTGAGAGAGAATGGCCCCTTCTAGAACAGAAAGCAGTAAAGGACAGGAAGATTTGGAATGAATCTGTGCATGTGCTACCTGAAGCCTTAAGCAGGCCCTCAGAGTTCTTTCTGATCCACAGAACCTCCAAAGAAGGCCTCACAAGTCCCCATGGTAACAAGTAAACCCACAACGCCAGGGTCAAGCACCATGGATGGTCATTCCTCATCCTCACTGGGCCTGCCTCAGTCCCAGCCACAGAAGCACACACTAGGACTTGGTGAGTACCCAGGGCCAAGGGTGGGTTCTTTCTTCCCCACTTCAGGAGACCCAGGTCCTGCTCCAGAACCAGAGGTCTTGAGGCCAGGATCCATATCAGTGACACCCTAGTTTGGGAGAAAATGAGATGTTTGGTGGGGGAGTAGAGACAAGAACTTGGGCCTAACCACAACAAAGGTGAAAGGCCTAGACTTAGGCTGATAAAGGAGAGGAGAAGAGAGAGGGGTAGGAAGAACCCAAAATGATGGGAAAGAGAGGTAGAAAATGCTGGGAAAGGGCTGCTGTCCTCTCAGGGAAGGCTGGTCCTTGCCAACCAGCATGGGAGAAGAGCTGGGGAGGAGGAGGACACCATTCACCTTGACCATGCTTTCATGGTGCAGGCACAGGTGCACCACACAGCAGCAGCAGCAGCAGGAACAGGGGCAGCCCAAGTAGAGTACGTGCTGTCTATGCTCACATGCAGGGTGAGATTGCTTCTCTCCCCTTTCTCTCATTTTGTTCCTTGGCCCAGACTTACTTGGGAGGGGAGTGAAGAGAGATAAGAAAAAGGAACAGTAATCAGGCCTCAAGCACAGTGAGTTAAGGAGTGGATAAAAGAAGTAGCCATACCACTTTTCAAGAGGACAGAAGTATTTGCCTCTTAACTGGCTTCCTATCTCTAGGGCATAAGTCTCTTTTCTCTGGAACTCATGAGAGAAGGGTCCAGAGTCTCCTGGAGTCATTTGAAACTAGCAACATGAGCAACCAGCAATGCCATTTACATGACCACACATCATCACAGTCTGACTTCCATTCTCTTGGGATCTAATTGAAGTGCCTGAGAGACAGTCTTTTTTGTAGGGTGTGAGCTTCCCCTGCAATCTCTTACTTGGGGGTTGGGGAGGGAAGCTAGCTCTCCATGATAGGTCATGTCAGTCCCCATCACTGATACAGCTTACTTCATCTTAGACACAACCCAAAATATTACCCCCAAATCAACCACCACGAACCTGAGGACAGGGGATTATTTGACCATCGTTCCTAGTCCCACATCAGAGTCGGTGCTCACGGTGGCTGCATTTGGTGAGTCATGTGGGGATGGGAGGGAATTGCCCCAGGAACTTGGACTCAGTATACAAACACAAGCTCAAATAACTCACTAAAAAAACCAAACTCATTGCCATCAAGTTGATTCTGACTCATAGTGACCCCCTTTGGGTTTCTGAGGCAGTAAATCGCTATGGAAATAAATTGCCCAATCTTCCTTCTGCAGAGTGGCTGGTGGGTTTGAATTGTCAACTTTCTGGTTAGCAGTCAAATGCCTTAGGCAGTACACCACCAGAACTCCTTAGCTCAAATAACACCCATTTATGCAAGATGGTTTGCCTGAAGGAAAGGCTCTGGTAGGAGAGATCCACCACTGGCCCTCTAGTCAACTATTTTTGGCTCTTATGGGTTCTGTGTTCCTATGGGAGGATAAGGGAGCTCTGGTAGCGTAGTGCCTAGTGCACTTGAGTGCTAACCAGAAGGCTGGTGGTTCAAACCCACCAGCCACTCCTGGGAAGGAAGATGGGGCAATCTACTTCCATAATGATACTGCCTAGGAAACCCAAGGAGGAGTCGCTATGAGTCAGGTCTGACTTGACGGTACATAACAACAACAACATGGAAGGATGGACACAGGAGGATGCCCCACTCTGGCTAGGGGCAGCAGGCTGAGAGCTTGTTGTTCAACAAAGAAATGGAATTCACTTTGCTTCTGGAGCCTGTCTATACAGCACTTGGCAAAGGGAATTCTGGACTCCTGTTGCTCTGTTCTCTCCCCTTTTGAGTCTCCCTTTCACCCCATTTTTTCTCTGTTCAGGTGTTATCAGTTTCATTGTCATCCTGGTGGTCGTGGTGATTGTCCTAGTCAGTGTGGTCAGTCTAAGGTTTAAGTGTCGGAAAAACAAGGAGCCTGAAGGTAATGCCTTGACCTCAGGCCCCCTCTGTCCCTCTTTGCTGGGGAGATCCATAGCTAAATTCTGTGGCTGAGACCTAGATTGGAGTTGAAAGAAGGATTGGAATTTAAACACCATGAATTGTGAGGGGCCACTTGGGTGGGCTTTGATGGGCAGGTCAAGTGTCTGAGTTACAGCGTGTGATTCCCAATCTGTGCCTTGGATTTTTACAGATCCCCAGAAACCAGGGAGTTCGGGGATATCTGAAAGGTAAGACTGTCAATAGTATAAGAGAGATATCATCTATCTGATCTCTCCTTCCCCTGCTTCCAAGAGGGAACCAACACTTCCTGCCTTACATACACACACATACACACATGCACACACACAACCTTGACAGCCTCCACTGAGCCACTGGGTGGCAGGACAAGAACAGGGAGAGATCTAAAAGAAGACATCAGGTGAAGGTGATGGGAGATGGAATGGAACTCTTCACTCCCAGAGCTAAACGTCTGTAACCCTCTTGAAAAGTGTAGGAACACAGATTCTAATCTGCCCCTTTAATAAGAAGACACTTCCTCAGTGTTAAGAACTACTTATTTCGTCCCTACTATGTGATAAGTAGGAGCCCTTGTGGCTCAATGGTTAAGGCATTTGGTTTGGCAGTTTAAACCCACCAGATGCTCCACAGAAGAAAGATGAGGCAGTCTGCTTCCATAAAGATTTACAGCCCTGGAAACCCTTGGGGCAGTTCTACCCTGTTCTATGGGGTCACTGTGAGTTGAAATTGACTCAATAGCAGTGGGTTTAGTTTTGGATGTATCAAATACTGGACACTTTGAAATATTATCTCAAATTCTTACAGCAACTCTTCAAGGCAGATATTACTTCATTTTACACATGAATAAAATAAGGCTGAAGAGAGGTTTTAACATGGTCAAGATTACACAAGTAGTGAGTAGTAAAACCAAAGCACTTTCAAAGCACTCAGTTCATTATGACCCAGCACTAAAACATAGAATTTTCGAAACAAAGGTCTGAGGTTCAACTCCAAACCCACAGTTCCTTGACTCCCCGTTACCCTCCCTCCTCCTCCTCTCTATAACGCAGACTCCCTCTCTACCCCTAGTTGCTCCACTGCCAACGGCGAGAAAGATAGCATCACTCTCATTTCTATGAAGAATATCAACATGAATAACAGCATAGGATGCTCAACGGAGAAGGTTTGTTTTTCCTCTTTCCTTCCTTCTTCTCCCAAGTTCACCTTTACCCACCTCCTCTTACCTTCAAGTTCTAGTCCCTGAGCCAGAAAGGAGATACTTTCAAAGACCCAGGATCTCCTCCCCTCTTTCCTACCCCATCACTTCCATCCAAGAAGTTCATCCTTCCTCATTATGTCTTTATTTTGCAGGTTCTGTAAAGGTAACCTCAGGGTCCTATGGGCCCAAGGATGATGCAGCTGCCCTGTGACTGTGAGGAGGAAGTGATGGGATTGGTAGGGACAATGAACTACATATAAATTATTTTATTTTTTCACATCTACTCCCAGATCTAAAGGACGCTAGCATTCCTTCAGATCTAGGAGCAAGCTACTGATATAAGAGACTCTCCTATGTGGACAGCCATTCAAGAAACACAGCCCGCTCAGAGTCATAGGAAAGTGAGGAAAAATGATTAAGTGAATTGGTCTTATCTACTTTGCATTAAAATTATTTTCTGGCCTGCTATCTAACTTCTTTTAAGGTTTCTACTCCCATGCACATTTCTTTACTGAGTGTTCCAGTAGCTTTGGGACCGCCTTTCTTAGGCCAGGAATGTATGGAAGGTTCTATCCCTCTAGGGAGCTCTCTGAGAAACCAGGGAGATGGAAAGAACTTTTTGTCAGGTCTGCCTTGGTTCACTTGGCTTATTTAAGTGGAGTTGAGGTAACTGAGTAAGCACTCCAATAGAGGAGAAAGAAAATAGAATATAAACCATGGATAATCATCACCAGTAAAGAAGTATCACATCTGGAGAGAGAGAACCTAGGAGGCACAAAACATTTTGCCTAGGAAATTTCATTGGTGAGAATTGAATAATATGAAGGTAGCTGTCCTGTGCCTGCCCTAGGGTAGATACACATCACTTTGGCCCTAGCTATGGCAAGATCACTGGGCAAGTTTGGAATGAAATTAAGTCTGTGACTCCATAAACAGACAACTCACCCACTTCATTCCATACAGTTGTTATCTTTGTGACCTAGAAAAAGGGAAAGAAAGGGGAAAAAAAAGTCACTTAAACACTGTGAGGTTACTTAAAGTGAAAAAGAAAGGCAATATCTGTTTTCTTAGTAATAGACATCTTTGCCATGACACTGGTTTGGGAATGAATCTTTTTGGGTACAATCAATGAAGAATGATCTGTATATGTCTGCAGAGATTGTTTAACACGATAAGCATCTACTTGCCAGCAGTTGGAAGACATGGAGAACACCATTCCTCTCTCTGAGATCACCCATTCTCAAGGAAAAATAAGACTGAAAAAACTTACTGGATTCTAAAATCATCTAAGGCATGGCCTGTAACCTACTCATGTTTATAACTACAGCACATCATAGGTAATGAAAACTGGTTCTTGAATGAAGGGAACCTGGCCATGAGGCTGGACTCCTCCACAAATTTGTAGCTTGACTTGATCAAATCATCCCCTTTCTCTGAACCTCTTTTCTTACTTTTAAAGTGAGGTGGCTGAACTACTTGGCCTTCACTATCTTTTCTCTTCTTATATTCTATTATTCTATAAAGTCTAGACCAAAAAAAACCCACAATCTGTTGAGTAGAAATAACTGCAGGACAACCAGACATAAATCTTATGTGACTCTTCACAAGCCTTTGACATTCTCTGGGAAAGTCTTTACATTCCCATGTATTAATAGGAAAGAGTGATCCTACTGGCTCTGTCTACCTCATAGGCTACTGGATAAGTGAAATGGAATAATAATTGTGGAAATGCTTAGGAAGTAAAAATATTAGCTGGCAATGGTAGTAGACAGTGTGGAGTACCGCCAAGATCCCACTTGAGGATCAAGGCATTTGTTCCCCAGCTGCTGGGAGTGTTGGCTGCTGAGGGATCACAGCTGGTTGATGACTGCTTGATAGGAATGGGGGTGGGGATGAAGACATAGACCTCTTGCCTCAACTTCCCCTCTACCCAATCCTGCTTCCCTCAGCCCTCATAGCTATTGTTCCCAGGAGCACTCACCAATAAACTTTTGGCATGAGAATCTGAGTTTCAGAGTCTATTTCCTGAGGTACCCAACCAATGACAGGTATATTAAAAAAAAAAAAAAAGAAAATTCAGAATATTTTATTTAAACCACACTGCAGAAAGCACATGACCTGCGCTGGTCAATTCTAGTACAACAATCGGTCACTGGGCTAGAACTCTCCAAGTGACATAAACAATGTCAAGAAGTACTAGATTCTGTTTGAATTGTTATTGTTATTCTGAATGCCATTGGCCCTTAGTTCAGCTGCTTAAGATACTGGATAATCAGGTCAAGGATATGGGTCTCACTCTAGGTAACTCATTTGATGTCTCCATTCTAAAGCCACAAACTTCCCCCTGACTCTGGACAATGTCCTGCAAATATGAGCTGTTAGTCATAAGGTATTTATATGTGTGGTTTGAGAAGGAGTGACCTGCTATTAATATCTTTGAGGTTGAAAGGCTTTTACCCTGACACTGATACTGCAGTACCATGTTACCCATGTGGATTGTCCTTTTGCTAAGTAACTATCCTTTGGGAAGGGGTCCAGGGCAAACTCATTTAATGCTGAATTCTGCTGTGTAGCAAACAAAGGAGTTTCTGCTGGAGGATCCTACCATTTACACAAGTACAAGACCCTACTGCTGACAGGAAATCCAAGTGTAGCCTTCTATAGTCCCTGCAGCTACCCTGAGATCACATCTCTTCCTTGATGTCTAGACAACAGGATGGTGGCCATTTACAAGACAGCTTCCTCCCTATTCCCACATAGAACTCCATGCCCCTAAAGCAGAAACAGATGGTGGGGTGGGGTGATTGCTGTAGAGTGTCCTCATCTCATTTCTTTCCTCTTCCTGTGGAAGGGCAACCAACAAACAAGCTCAGGCATACAGTCCTGGGTGGACCAGCAGATCATTTACTCAGAATTTCTTCTAGGGCTGCATGGGTAGGTCCAACATCTTAATCACATAGTGCTCACAGCAAGCCTCAATATCCCCAACAAAAATTCACTATAGTTCAACAAATTAAGTTTTAAAAGTAAGCAGAGATGACTCATAGAAACCTGAGGTTGTCCCAAAGTAAAATGATTTAGCGGACAGAGGATCTCATTGACCTAATGCTTGCACCCAATTTCCCAAAGATAGGCTAGTATAGCTAAATTTTATTTGAATCTGCTGGAAAACATATAGTTTGGGTTACCAGTCTCCCTGTGGGTCAGTGGATGCTTTCCTTTCTCTTCTTTTCAAACTTCTCTCTACACCTACCTCCTTTTTGAGAACTACATCCGAGATCTCAATTCTCTTCTCTCATTCCCAGTTACTCCCTCATTCTCTCTGCTGGTTACACAACTTCCTCTTCTATAGAACACAGATTGGATTTGGCAGTGGGAATTAATTTTGTTGAATGGTTTGTGAATGTTCAAAATCTGGCATAAAAGTGTTCTGAATTTTGAGGTTTGGGATTCTAAGTTAGCTCTAGTGATGTAGACATAGAAAAACTCAACCCAAATGGTTAATTTAGATGTAAATGAGATGAAGGATACATTTGCATGATAATATCTGAGACTCTGGCAATGCTGAACTGTTTATTGCTGGGGTAGAATTAAATGAGTCAAATCTAGAAAAGAAGGGGTGAGGTTTCAGAGGATAAGGAGAGGAAAGAATGTTGAGATACCTACAAGTTGTCTCTAAGAGGCCTTCACTTCTCAAATTTTGTTCAGCATTCTTGAACCTGGACTCTGCTCCTAAGACCCAAAACCAAACCCACTGCCATTGAGTTGATTCTGACTTATAGGACAGAGAAGAACTGTCCCATAGGGTTTCCAAGGTTGTAAATCTTTATGGAAGGAAACCGTCTCATCTTTCTCCTGCGGACCAGCTGGTGGGTTCAAACCACCAACCTTTTGGTTAGAAGCCGAATGTTTTGCTCCTAAGTAGCCCCACAAATTCATAATATGTCTTCTCAATCAAGTTACCCTCTACAGTCGTCTAGCACCTTCATTCTTTGCCAGGTACTTCTGACTTCATGGCTCTCTATCTCTTAGCATCTCCAGACCTTAACCTTGTGGCACTGGGCTTCATAGTGCACCTCACCCTCCCCTGTTCATCTGTTAGAGCAGGCTCTCTAGCCTTCGCAAACCAGAAGGCCTTCCATTTTATATTCAACTACTTGATGGATGGGAGCTCTGGTAGCATAGTGCCTAAGGCACTTGACTGCTAACCAGAAGGCTGGAGGTTCAAACCCACCAGCCACTCCTCAGAAGGAAGGTTGGGCAATCTACTTCCGTAGTGATACTGCCTCAGAAACCCAAGGAGGGGTCACTATGAGTCAGGTCCCACTCAACAACACATAACAACAACAACAACTTGATGGATGTCCCTGATTAAGGCCTTTGGCTTCAGAGCACAAGTGACTTTTTCAGGACTCAGTCTTCTGTGATCCCACTGTTGCCTGGGGTATATGAGCTGGTCAGAGGTGCAGTGTCCCAGAACTGGGCTTTTGACTCACCCTAGGATTTTGGTGTCTCTTTTGTCTCTCATGTTTAAGAACACAAGGTAATCCATCTGATTTTGGATGGCTTGGAACCTTTCTCATAATCACTCACTTTTGCTATGCTTTTGTGCTTTTGGAAGAGGCAAATCACCACTTTTAGTGGCTGGATTGAAGGGCTAGAGTGAGAGGAACAGCAGCTTTCAAGCCCTTTTTTGTAGTGCTGTGCCTCTTGCCATATTTGTAGGTAATAATTGCCAGACAGACTAGCAGGGGATATAATTAGACATATCTGGACCTTTTGACATACTCAATATACTCCACCACTATCCCCCCACTAGGAGCTCTAGTGGCATAACACCTAAGGCATTTTACTGCTAACCAGAAGGCTAGCGGTTCAAACCCACCAGCCACTCCTCAGAAAGAAGGATGGGCAATCTACTTCCGTAAGTGATACTGCCTCGGAAGCCCAAGGAGGGGTCACTATGAGTCAGATCCCAACTCCACAGCAGTGCGTTGCATTTGTTTGTTTTATACCCCCACTAAGGAGCCATGGTAGCACAACAGTTAAGCACTTGGCTGCTAATCAAAGGGTTGGCAGTTCAAACTCACCCAGTGGAGAATTTCCGCCCCTAAAGATTACAGCCACAGAAATCCTATGGGGCTGTTCTACTCTGCCACACAAGGTTGCTATGAGTCAGATTCAACTCAACAGCACTCAACAACAACAATATCCTCCCACTACTAATTTATAATACCAGCCATAGGAAAACAATGACTTCTCTTCCTCCAAGCTAGTCGGTAAGAGTGGTTAGCATTTAATAAGCACATATTATATGGGAGATTACAGGCATGACACAGGAGACTTTGACCCTTCCAGTTTATGTCCACACCTGTACAACTTTCCACCCCACCCCTAACCCTGCAACTGCCTAAATAGTTGCTGATTGATACTGATACTGAAACTGATTTAGTCTTCTCAGTATCAGTGAATTCCAGGTAATTCTCTTTCTTCTTCTTCTTTTTTTAAATACATTTTATTGAAATATAATCTATGTACAGTGAAATACACAAAACTAAAGTGACATGGGTCAATGCTTTTTTTTTTTTTTTTTTTTTTTTTTGCAGTGCTCCCTCCCCTCCCCTCCCACCTCTGGTAACCAACAAAGAAAGTTTTCTTCCATATATAAACCTTTCCTTGACTTTTTACAATAATGAACTAATACTTTATTTGTGATTCTGTGATTGACTTATTTCCCTCAGCATAATGTCCTCCAAGTTCATCCATGTTATGCGGTGTTTTGCAGATTCTATATTATTCTTTAGTGTCGCATAGTACTCCATTGTGTGTATGTACCATAGTTTGATTATCCATCCTTCTGTTGATGGGCACCTAGGTTATTTCCATCTTTTTGCTATTGTAAATAGTGCTGAGATGAACATGGGTGTGCATATATTTGTTCTTGTCCTGGCTCTCACTTCTTTAGGATGTATACCTAGTAATGGGATTGCTGGGTCAAATGGTATTTCTAATTCCAGCTTTTTAAGGAATCACCGTACTGTTTTCCACAGTGGTTATATCATTTGACAGTCCCACTAGCAGTGTATGAGAATCCCAATCTCTCCACATCTTTGCCAGCATTTGTTATTTTCTGTCTTGTTGAACTATGCCATCAGTGCTGGGGTGAGATGGTATCTCATCGTTGTTTTGATTTGCATCTCTCTGATGGCTAATGATCGTGAACATTTCTTCATGTATTTGCTGGCCGCCTGAATATCCTCTTTGGTCTTCTGCCCATTTTTTAATTGGATTGTTAATCTTTTTGTTGTTGAGATGTTGGAGTTTTCTATAAATTTTAGAGATAAGTCCCTTGTCAGATATGTAATTATTGACAAGTATGAATTTGTTGCTATCATTTGAATTCCAGGTAATTCTTTACTTGAGGATAAACATGACCATCTTTCCCTTTTGCAGACCTGATCTTTGGCTATTTCAACCCCTCCTGCAGTCATGAGTCAGTGGGTGAGAACATTGTACCAAGACACTTAAGAAGAGTAGCCTTAATTCTTGCCTAGGCTCCATGCAAACCTGGGTGAGGATCAGCATGAATATTTCTTAAATTCCTTTTCACTAATCTCCTGGAGTCTAGTCTTTCAGAAAGGAAGGGAATGGGCCAAGGAAACAATCGAACTGGAAGAAAGAGAAAAACTCTCAGAGGGGTCTCAAAGCAATATACCCACTCCCACTGCCATCGAGTTGATTCCAAGCTATAGCAACGCTTCAGGATAAAGTAGAACTGCCCCATAGGGTTTCCAAGGCTGTAAATCTTTGAGGAAGCAGACTGTCTCAAAGTCTGGTGGATTCCAACAGTCTGTATTTTGGTTAGCAACAGAATGCCTTAATCACTGCACCACCAGAACTCCTTAAAGTAGAATAGGAAGGAGGAAGTATAAGGAACAGCAAAGAGGGGACCATAATGCAAGCCCTAAGACCTGCCCTTTTCTTCTTCTTTCTACCTATGACCCTGTAGTAGTCCCTTTAAGGACTCTATGAATGACTGGAGTCTGTGCCTGAGAAACTGCAGGACGAAGGGTGTTCCCAGGCTGTCTCTTAACCCCAGAAATCTACCTCACTTCTAATTTTCTTGGCTTTTAAGCTTCCTCTGGCTTATTGCCAAACCCATCTCTAAATTTCCAGAGCCTAGCACAGACTTCGCACAGAAGAGGAATTAGCGTATATTTTAAAACAACATCCCTGAGTGGAATAACAGTCTTGCTGTCACCCTCTAGTCTATAGTTTGCGACGCCCTTCCCAACAAGAGAGGATTTCAGTCACACCTTGTTGGAAGCCACAAGGGATAAGTGTCAGGAAGAAGCCACTATCCTCACTCCACAGATGAGGAAAATGCAGCCCGTAGTTACCACAGTTTCCTATTCTGAGTCTGTAGCTCTCAGTAGTCTGCGAGCTAGACAGCAATTATCTCGTGGCCTCCCGGCCAGGCTCAAGACCCTTTACACCTCTGCATCTCCCACGGACCCTCGCGTGGAGCCTGCCGGGAGTTGTAGTCAAGTGCCCTGACGCGTCCTCTGTAGCCCATTTGAGTCGGACTACAGTGCCCAGCATGCCTCCGCGCTTCGCGCCCCCTTCCCTTTCAGCCTCCGGAGCGGCGGAGACGTGCGGACCTACTGAGAGAGACCCGATATGGCAGCGACTCTGAGCAGTGGGGAGCGCTGGACCGAAGGTACCAGATCCTGGTTGAATGGTGGGATAAGGCAGGGTCAAGAAGAAATCAGGGATGGGGGTCCTGAAGGAGCTTAAGGGCTAAGATCCTGGGCCTGAGGTGAGGGATGAAGGCCCGTGAGAATATGCTGAGCCTGAGCCGGGTTCTGGATACGGTGTGGACCCGCCCAGGACAGGGACCAGCATCCGGCCGGGGCAGACCGGGAGACCCGAGTCACCACTGACGACTTGTTGCCTCCTGCCCCCAGGCTCGCCCCGGCCCGTGCCCCGCCCAAGGCCCGAAGTAGTCTAGCCCGCCTGCGCCAGGATGACTGCAGACTAGCAAGATGATGAAGCGGTCACCTGCAGCTTATTTACGTGGCTCATCTTCCTGTCACCAAACTAAGCTGCTTGACCCTAGGTTCCAGGGTGATCTTGGTTCGGCACCCTGCCCCCCCTCTGCTCCCAGTCTGCATCAGGACGGATAGGCCAGTCCTTTCCATCCTGAACAAGTCTTGATTCATGCCTTTTTTCCTGCAGTCAGGCAAAAAGTATTGATCCAACACCTATTATGTGATCTGCACTATGCGGGGCCTGTAGGTGCAGCGGGAATTTGATAAGACATGGGGCAGGAAGGGAGTTTAAAGGGTAAATAGACAATTACAAATCAGCCAATAAATCCTGGACTCAACAGCAAGGTCAAGGATTTTGGAAGCATACTGAGAAGGCACTCAGCACAGCCTGGATGTCAGGAGGGCTCATGGAGTGTCACATATGATGACATGAAGGATGCATTGGAGTCAGCCAGGCTGACCTAGTGAGTTTTCCAGGCAGAAAAAAAACAGTGTGTACAAAGGCAGAGAGAAAAGAAAAAGCATTGCTGATCTGAAAAGAGCTTGCTGTGGCTAGAGCAGATTGCAAAGGACCATGTGGTGAGAGATGAGGGTAGAGAGGCAGGCTGGGTTCATAATAAAAAATTTGGACAAGGAGCAGTGGATAGTCATTTAAGGAACAAGAATGTCGTCACATTTGATCAAAGGCTTTTAAAACCTCTAGATAAGACATGAGTTTTCTGTACTCTTTGACTACATTGCTTATGTCCCTTTTTTTTATATCTGCATGTGTTTTTTTTTTTTTTTAATTAGTATTTGGGTGAAGATTTACAGAGTAAATTCGCTTTTCATACAGCAGTTCACATATACTTTGTCTCATGTCATTGACCAAAATTTACAATATATCTGCATGTGTTTTGATTGATTCCTGTCCCCTTAGACTATAACCTCTTTGTGGTCAGGAGTAGATCTTGCTCATACATTCCCCTGATGTAGCTAGTTAAGTCTTGCACATATTAGTTCTATAACTATCAATTAAAAATAATTGAATTCACCTCTACTTTAAATCTTAGCAGTGGGGGCATTGCAACAAAAAACAATTATTTTATTAGCAATGTCACCTCTGACCATGGACCACAGAAAAACAGATTTCCCCCTGGCCTGCACTAAAAGTAAAGTATTGGGCCAAGCCCTTTTTCCAGGTTTGAGTCAAGATTATTTGCTAACTGACCATTGTAGCTTGGTGGACATTATGCTTCATATTTCTGGGATTTGTAAGGTTTTATTGGTTGGCTTCCATTTTTTCTGTATTGTTTTCTCAGGGAAGATGATTATTTAGCATTGTATGGAAGCTTAAAAGTCAGCATGACATATGTAACCTGGCCCTCACTCACCTGCTTATGCCCACAGCCTCCAGAGAGCTAAGACAGGTAGCAAAGCTGGTTTGAGAGTCAAACTGAGGCCTAATGGAGGGGCCATTGCTTTGCAGCTTATATTGATGCAATGAGAAGAAACAAATACTCAGAAGACAGACCTCCTGAGAGTCATGACACCTGTGATTGCTGTAATTGCATGAAGGCACAGAAAGAAAAGAAGTCTGAGAATGAGTGGAATCAGACTTGGCAGAGTGAGGGGAGTGGCGCTTATACCAAGGAGCAGCTGTTTGGGGTACAAAGGTGAGCCTGTGGTAGGATTAAATGAGTGATTTTATGTAAAGTGCTGAGAACAGTGCCTGGCACACAAGATCTGCTATCAAGTATTGACTGCTATTCTTCTTATTATTATTGAAGCACAATAGCTTCTTGACCTCAGATGGAAGACTGGATGGAGATGGCATAGTAGAGTACAATCTGACTGCCCTGCTTCTACTTTAAGAGAGACAGGGGAAGCCAACTAGCTCTGACAGACATCTATAGAACACTCCACCCAACAACAGCAGAATATGCATTCCTTTCAGGTGTACATGGAGCTACTTCTTAGGTATACATTCTTCAGGATGCTTAGACACAAAACAATCCTCAATAAATTTAAAAGAATTAAATCACATAGTTTCTGTTATTTGTTGTTGCTAGGTGCTATGAAGTCAGTTCCAACTCATAGCAACCCTATGTATAGCAGAGCATAACACTGCTCAGTTCTGCACCATCCTCATAATTGTTGCTATGGTTGAGCCCATTGTTGCAGCCACTCTGTCAATCCATCTCATTGAAGGTCTTCTTTTTCACTGATCTCTACTTTACCACGCATGATGTCCTTTTCCAGGGACTGGTTCCTCCTGATAATATGTCCAAAGTACATGAGACAAAGTCTTGCCATCTTCACTTCTAAGGAGCATTCTGGTTGTATTTCTTCCAAGACCAATTTGTTTGTTCTTCTGGCAGTACATGGTATATTCAGTATTCTTTGCCTACACCATAATTCAAAGGCATCAGTTCTTCATTCTTCCTTATTCATTGTCCACCTTTCATATACATATGAGGTGATTGAAATACCATGGCTTAGGTTAGGTGCACCTTAGTCCTCAGAGTAACATCTTTGCTTTCTAAGACTTTAAAGAGGTCTCTTTTTCTGCAGCAGATTTGCCCAGTGCGATACGTTTGATTTCTCAGCAGCTATTTCCAAGGGCATTAATTGTGGGTCCAAGTAAAATGAAATCCTTGACAACTTGTATCTTTTCTCCATTTATCATGATGTTGCTTACTGGTCTAGTTGTGAGGATTTTTATTTTCGTTATATTGAGGTAAAATCCATACTGAAGGCTATAGTTTTTGATCTTCATCAGTAGGTACTTCAAGTCCTCTTCACTTTCAGCAAACACGCTTGTGTCATATGCATATCACAGATTATTAATGAGTCTTCGTCCAATCATGATGCCACATTCTTCTTCATATAGTTCAGCTTCTTAGATTTTTTGCTCAGCATGCAGATTAAATAAGTATGGTGAAAGAATACAACCCTGATGCACATCTTTCCTGATTTTAAACCATGCGGTATCCCTTATTCTGTTTGAATTACTATGGACACTAAATAAATATACTCTTAAATAATAACGAGGTCAAAGAAGAAATCACAAGGGAGAGTAGAAAATACTTTAAGGTGAATGAAAATGAAAACACAACATGCCAAAACACATGAGATACAGCTAAAGCAGTGCATAGAGAGAAATTTATAGCTATAAACAACTATATTTAAAGAAAAATAAAAAGATCTCAAATCATTAACCTAATCTTCCACCTTAATAAATTACAAAAAGAGTTAACTCTGAAATACTCTTTAAACTTAGAACTGAACCTACTCCTTTCAGCCAAATAGTAGATTGGCTCATAAAATAAATAATGTCATCATCTGAGAGTACTAAATTAATCATCTATATTATGAGACCAAATAGTCAATATTTACCATAAAGTAAAGAATGAGAAGTTAAAGGGGGAGCAGAGAAGCTAGGTTAATAGAAAGAAAACAAGCAAAATGTAAATAATGAAAAGTTAACACATCATGAAGACTGTAAGCAATGTCACTGAATAATATGTATATTTAAAAAAAACAACCAAACTGACTGCCGTTGAGTCAGTTCCAACTCATAGTGACCATTCTCCTTGGGTTTCCAAGGAGGTATCTCTATGGAAGTAGATTGTCCAGTCTTCTTTCCATAGAATGGCTGGTGGGCCACCAGCCTTCCGGTTAGCAGTCAAATGCCTTAGGCACTACACCATCAGAACTCCCAGAGCAATATGTATAGAAATTATTAAATGGGAACTTAATTTGCTATATAAAACTTTCACCAAAGATACAATAAAAAAAGAATAAAACGTGTGTGTGTGTGTGTGTGTATATATATATGTAAAAGAAAGCAAACTAAACTCAAAGCAAGCAGAATGAAGGAGTGAAAATAAATGAAATAGAGAAAGAGAAAATCAACAAAGCCAAAAATTGGGTCTTTGAAAATATCAAAATTAACAAACTTTTAGTTCAACTGACCAGAACAAAATAGAAGATTCAAATAAATAAACTCAGCAATGAAAGAAAAAATAGCACTACCAACTTTACAGAAATAAAAATAATTATAAGAGAATAAAATGAACTACCTTGTTATTTCTTCCATTTGCTTTAGCTACTCTCCATTCAAAAGCAAGTTTCAGAGTCTCTTCTGACATCCATTTTGGTCTTTTCTTCCTTTTCTGGCTTTTTAATGACCTTTTGCTTTCTTCATGTATGATATTCTTGATGTCATCACACAATGCATCTGGTTTTCACTCATTGGTGTTCAATGCATCAAATCTATTCTTTAGATAGTCTCTAAATTCAGATGGGATATAATCAAAGTCATATTTTGGCGAAGAATACTGAAAGTTCCATGAACTTCCAGAAGAACTAACAAATCTGTCCTGGAAGTACAGCTGAATGCTCATTGGAAGCAGGAATGGCCAAACGTCATCTCACCTACTTTGGTCATGTTGTCAGAAGGGACCATTCCCTGGAGAAGGATATCATGCTTGGTAAAATGGAGGGTAAATAAGAAAAGGCAAGACCCTGAACAAGATGGATTGACACAGCGGTTACAACAATGGGCTCAGATACAGCAAGGATTGTGAAGCTGGCACAGGACCAGGCAGTGTTTCATTCTGTTGTACATAGGGTCATTATGAATTGGAGCCAACTTGATGGCATCTAATGACAACAACAATATGAACTATTCTATGCTGATGAATTACTGCTTACTCACTGCCATGGAGTCAGATCCAACTCATAGCAACCCTTCCTTGGGTGTCCGAGGCAGTATCACCATGGAAGTAAATTGCCCAATCTTCCTTCTGAGGAGTGGCTGGTGGATTTTAACCATCAGCCTTTTGGTTAGCAGTCAAATGCCTTAGGCACTATGCCACTAGAGCTCCTAATAAATTAGTAACCTAGATGAAATGGGGAAGCTCTGATGGTGTAGTGCCTAAGGCATTTGACTGCTAACCAGAAGGCTGGTGGTTCAAACCCACCAGCCACTCCTTAGAAGAAAGATTGTGTGATCTACTTCCGTAGTGATACCGCCTCAAAAACCCAAGGAGGGGTCGCTATGTAGGAGATGACTCGACAGCACATAACAACAACAGATGAAATGGACAAGTTCCCAGAAAGACACAAATTACCAAAATGACTCAAGAAGATGGAAAATCTGAATAGACCTACAACAAATAAAGATACTGAATTAGTAACCAAAAAATTCCCACAAATTAAAATTCAGGTCTAGATGACTTCACTGGTGAATTCTGCCAAATGTTTGAAAAATTAACAATAATCCCTCACATACTCTACTAAAAAGTGAAAGAGAAGTAATACTTTCCATTTCATTCTATATATTGTATTACTCTGATACTAAGACCAGACAAAAACATTACAAGAAAACTAAACTTTAAACAAATATCCCTTAAAAATAGTGCTAAATACACATAAATAATATAAGTTGATGCTAAAATCCTCCTCAACAAAATACTAGTTAACTAAATCCAGGAACATATAAAAAGGATTATATACTATAGCCAAGTGTATATCCCGGGAATGGAAGCCTGGTTTAATATCTGAATATCAATCAGTGCACTATACCAATCATATTGGCAATCCCTGAATGAAGGGCAAAAACCACATGACTATCTATATAGGAGCTCTGGTAGCATAGTGCTTAAGGCACTTGACTACTAACCAGAAGGCTGGCGGTTCAAACCCACGAGCCACTCCTCGGAAGGAAGATTGGGCAATCTACTTCCGTAGTGATACTGCCTCGGAAATCCAAGGAGGGGTCGCTATGAGTTGGGACCGACTCGACGGCACATAACAACAACAACAACATCTCTGTATAGACTGAGGAAATGTTTGATGAAACTTAAGGCTTATGATAATATCACTGAACAGGCTAGGAATATAAGCGAACCTCCTCAACCTCATAAAGGCATCTATGAAAAACTCAGCTAATATACTTAATGGTTAATGATTGGATGCTTTCCCACTAATATCACAAACAAGATAAGGCTGTCACTCCCACCACATCTATTCACTGTTGTACTGAAGGTTCTAGCCAGAGCAATTCAGTAAGAAAAAGGAATGAAAGATATTTAGTCTGGACAATGAATAAGGAAGACTGAAGAAAAATTGATGCTTTTGAATTATGGTGTGGGTGAAAAATATTGAATATACCTTGTACTGCCAGAAGAACAAATTTGTCTTGGAAGAAGTAAAACTAGAATGCTCCTTAGAAGCAAGTATTATGTGACTTTGTCTCATATAATTTGGATTTGTATCAGGAGGCATCAATCCCTGGAGAAGGACATCATGCTTAGTAAAGTAGAGGGATAGTGAAAAAGAGCAAGACTCTCAATGAACTGGATAGACTCAGTAGCTGCAACATTAGGCTCAGACATAGCAACAATTGTGAGGATGGTGCAGGACCAGGCAGCGTTTTGTTCTGTTGTAGAAAGAGTTGCTATGAGTTGGAACCAACCTGACAGCTCCTAACAACAGCAACAGCAACGGATTGGAAAGAAGTAAAACTATCTCTATTCATAGGTGACCTGATTTTGTATATAGAAAGTTGTAAATAAGTCACAAGAAAATCTATTAGAACTAATAAACAAGTTAAGCAAGGTTGCAAGATACAAAATGAGTATACAAAAATTAGTTGTTTTTCTATACACTAGCAACGAACAATCTGAAAATTAAGAAAACAATTCCATTTATAATAGCATCAAAATTAGTAAAATAATTAGGAATATATTTAACAAGGGAAATGTAAGATTTGTACACTGAAAACTACAAAACTTTGTTGAAAGAAAGAAGACTTAAATAAATGGAATGGCATCCCATGTTTGATGACTCTTCCTCAAGTCCCAATGCCACGCTCTTCATATAGTCCAGCTTCTCAGATTATTAGCTCAGCATACAGATTAAATAAGTATGGTGAAAGTATGGTGATTTTAAATCATGCAGTGTCCCCTTGTTCTGTTGCAACAACAGCCTCCTGGTCTGTGTCCACATGAACACAATTAAGTGTTCTGGAATTCCCATTCTTCCCAGTGTTATCCACAATTTGTTATGATCCACACAATTGAATGCCTTTGTACAGTCAATAAAACACAAGTAAACATCTTTCTGGTATTCTTTGCTTTGAGCCAAGATCTATCTGACATAAGGAATGATGTCCCTCGTTCAACATTCCCTTCTGAATCCAGCTTGCATTTCTGCAAGTTCTCTGTCAATATACTGCCGCAACCAGTTTTTAATTATATTCAGCAAGATTTTACTTGCATGTGATACTAATGATATTGTTCAATAATTTCCACATTCTGTGGGATCCCTTTCTTTGGAATGGGTACAAATATGGATCTCTTCCAGTCAGTTGGCCAGGTAGCTGTCTTCCAAATTTCTTGGCATAGATGAGTGTGTGCCTCCAGCAGGGCATCTGTTTGTTGAAATATCTCAATGGGTATTCTGTCAATTCCTGGAGCCTTGTTCTTCACCAATTCCTTCAGGGCAGCCTTGACTTGTTCCTTTAATACTATTGGTTCTTGATCATATGCCTCCTCCTGAAATGGATGAACATCAACCAGTTCTTTTTGGTACAGTGAGTCTGTATATTCCTTCCATCTTCTTTTGAGGGCTTCCTGCATCATTCAATATTTTGAATCTTTCAATATTACAACTAAAGCCTTAATTTTTTTCTTCAGTTCTTTCAGCTTGAGAAATGCCAAGCATGTTCTTCCCTTTTGGTTATCTAACTCCAGGTCTCTGCACATTTCATTATAATAATTGACTTTGTCTTCTCAAGCTGCTCTTTGAAACCTTCTGTTCAACTCTTTTATCTTGTCATTTCTTCCACTTACTTTAGCTAGTCCCTGTTTAAGGGCAAGTTTCAGAGTCCTTTCTGACATCCATTGTGGTCTTTTCGTCCTTTCCTGTCTTTTCAATGACCTTTTGCTTTATTTATGGATGATGTTCTTGATGTCATCCCACAATTCCTCTGATTTTCGGTCATTGGTGTTCAATGCCTCGAATCTATTCTTTAGATGGTCTCTAAATTCAGGAGGGATATAATCAAGCTTATATTTTGGCTCTTGTGGACTTGTAATTGTCTTCAGCTTCAACTTGAACTTGCATATGAGCAGTTGATGGTCTATTCCACAGTCAGCTCCTGGCCTTGTTTTGGCTGAAGATACTGAGGTTTTTCATCACCTCTTTCCACAGATGTAACACAGACTTGGAAGAAGGAAGGGGCCATCCACTTCTCAAAGAATTGGCCAGTGAAAAGCTTATGAATAGCAGTGAAACACTGTCTGATATATTACAGGAAAATTTTATGAAATGACATCTATAATATGCTTCAATTTATATAAGAAAGAGGTCTTTATACATATACTCTTTCTGTACATAAGATTCACAGGAAACTTCTAACAGTGGTTGTACCTAGGGTGGGAGAGTAGGGTACAAGGAATGGAGAATGAAGAAGAGTTTACACTGTATGCAATTTAGTACTGTTAGATTTTTTTCTTCTACTTTGTATATATATATTAACTGTTCAAAACAAAATTCAAAAGGACACAAGGACAAAAGAGAAATAAATAAGGTGGTTAGGTTTTTTTTTGTTGTTGTTTTCTAGTTTTGCAGTCCTATGGTTCATCTCTCAGGACCTTAGCCTACACATTAATGTAAGGATTAACATATTTGTTCTACTTATTTGCAGGGATGTAGAAAGAATAAAATAATAGATGTGAAAGCAATTTGAAAAGCATTAGGCTCTTGGTGGGAGGACGATATTGTTAATGAATTTGATTGTTTCATTGATGTGTTCACCAGTTTTAACTTTGTTTTGGGATTCAGAGTTTGAAGGGAAGGTTGGTGTGCTCTTTTGCAGTTAGTTGTACAGAAGGGTCCTTTGTAGACATACATGTTTCTTTGTTTCTTAGGATTAAGAAATGCAGAAATTACTATGAAATTCTGGGAGTTTCCCGAAATGCCAGTGATGAAGAGCTTAAGAAAGCTTATCGGAAGCTTGCACTGAAATTTCATCCTGACAAAAACTGTGCTCCTGGAGCAACAGATGCTTTCAAAGGTTTGATCATGAACTGATACATAATTCTGCCTTTCTGTAGGCCTTGTGATTGTTAGTCTTAAAAAGTTGTTTTCAGCTTTACTTTTACTTATATTACAAGGCTATAAGCAGGTTTTTCCCCTATACCTCTTAAGTAATGATTATCAACCTAGGAGAGAACTCCTATCTTCATTCACTTACCTTAATTTAATTAACTTTTGAAAAAATATTTGATTTTTCTGTAATAATCGTTATAACCATTCATTAATTCAGCTAATATTTATTGAATCCTTCCATGTACCAGGTCTCAGTTTGAATAAAACAGACATGTTTCCCATTATGGAACTTAGGCTGATGGCAGCTTGCAAGTAGGGCCTAAGTAGCACTCCCGAACTTTTTTGACCCTGAAGTTCTTTGTTCATGAAACTCCTCTTTATGAACACGTTCATATGAAAAAGCTGTGTGTAAAAACCAGCATAACTATCGTTGCATAACAAATCTTTTTTCCACTGATTTTCTTGATAATTTCATAAATATGTCTCAAAAAATATTTTTGACTAAACATATGATAAAAATCTCACTTTAAGAGCTTCAATTTTAGTGAAGTCATTGACTCAGGCAAGGATCATCAATGGATGCTAAAACCATTGGGTAATAAGTTGTTGGGGAATCAGATAGTCACGTGATATCAAAATTTCACTCTGCATAATTATTGACTACTTCCCACTCACTGATTACAAAGGGGAAAAATTCTTTTATAATGACAATATCTAGTTGTCATCACTTTGGCCAGTTGATCCAACTTAGCATCCCCAGTAGTGGGATAACCTAACACTACATATCTTTTGATGTGACACAGAGAGTGCCTATGTGGTATTCTTGCCAAAATGTTTTACTTGAATCTAATAATGAGGGAACAATCAGAATATGAGACACTCTACAAAGACACTGACATACTCTTAAAAAATGCAGTATAATACAAAACAAAAAAAAGTGGGAGACTGTTCTAGATTAAAAGAAACTAAAGAGACAAAAAACAAATGTAATACAATGAACCTTGAATGGACCCATTGATGATAATGAATCGGTATTAATTTTCTTAGATGTGATAATGATATTGTGGTCATGTAAGAAGAATGCCTTTCTTCTCAGGAGATATTTACTGAAGTATTTAGAGGTGATGTGTCATGATGTATGTGTGGATATATGTGTGCATTTATGAGAGGGAAGTAATGTGGTAAATATACTGACAAATAGCAAATCAAAATGAAGGCTTAACAGGTATTCATTGTACTACTTTTTTTTTCAACTTTTCTGTAGGTTTGAAATTTTTCAAAAGAAAAAAACAATAGACCTGAGAAATAAAAATTCAGCATTTACCTCAGGGAACAATCTACTTTTATGGATATACCATTGAGAATCTAATTCTCTCCATAATTTCTACAAGGAACCAGATAGCCCACACATTCTCTTTATACCTTCATGTAAGGTATCTCACAAACTAATGACACTTCTTTGGGAGATCTACCAGATTTCAAGGAATTTGAATGTTTAAGCAACTGTTTAGATTTTTCTGCTAAATTTTTTCATTTTTGTAAACATTTAACATAATTCCCTAACTGGAAGAATTATAAAGAAGTACTTTTTGAAAAGAAACAAACAAAAAAGCTCTTTCTGATAGTGTTGACTGCGTTAGAGGTAGGGTGAAAATGTCTTAAAGTATTTTTTCATGATTTCTATTGATTGTATGTTTAAATGAAATTGGACAAAGTTTGCATATTTGTGCATAGGGAGGAGAGATGATGGTAAGTATATGTAATTAATCTGATTCTTCTTTGAGGGATTTTCTAAAGTAGGTTGAAATGAGACTCTGATGAGGACTTTGCTTTTAACCAAGCAAGATTTAAAAAAAAAAAATTCTGCTAAACTTTTATTGATATTTTATTTGGGAGATTGTTTCTTACTGCAAGTTAGGATAGCACTACTTATGTGTGAACTGTTTCTAAACCATAACTATTACTCTTAGGTGAAACAACGTTTAATGTTGGGAAACACAGTTTTATTCTGATGTGTGTTGACCTTTTTATTGATGTTCTGTGAACACTTATTAGAAAAAGTTTAGTTGATGTCTGATTATGTCTGTCAGTGGTGATCCCAGTGAGATGTTTTAAGCAAAGCTCACTTTTGCCTTTTGGTAGACAAGTACTAAATAGTGTTGCCAGACCTACAAGAACTTTAAAAAAAATCTTTATCACAGTTACCCATTTATAATACACTTAAGTGGTTGATGTCTTTTGTGGTCTGACATGATTGTACCCTGCAGAATGTTGGAAATGGAAGTTGTGCTTTAAAAAATAGCCCCTATTCTAAGCTAAACATCACTTCCTTCCACTTACTAAGGATCTCTATTTAACTGTATTTTTTCTTTACATTCTTTTTTGTTAGTCAAAAGGCACTGTAGGAAATAATTTTAATGATTCTTTCTTGTACTTACTTTGTGGATGTAGTTGCTTAAGATAACCCGGGATGGGCAATTTCAGAAAAGAATGGAAAGAAATACTTATGCCTTTGGCAGGAGAAGTGGTGAATGGAAATATAAATACGCACACATGATGAGGTAACATATATGAGAAAGACACAGGGCTCTTCCATTCACGAGAAGCGATTTCTCACAGTCCTCAGTAAGCAAGCCACACTAATCACAGATACGTGCCCTGGAGATCCTGGTATCTTGGTTCTCTAGTGCTGCTATGACAGAAATACCACAAACGGATGACTTTAACAAACAGGAGTTCATTCTCTTAACAGTTTAAGAGGCTTGTTCTGGTTACCTAGTACTGCTCTGACAAGAATATACCACAAATAGGATGTGTGAACAAACAGGAGTTTATTATAGTTTGGAGGCTTTAAGTCCGAGTTCAAAGTGCCAGACTCTAGGAGCTGGGGGAAAGCCCCTCAACCTTGGGCTTCAGCTCTGCCTTTTGCTCCTGGCCCCTGAAGCTAGAGGCTTTTCTTCACTCAGCTGCTGGCTGCTGGGACTGACAAGCCCAAGGTTGACAAGTAAAAAGGCACTGTCCCGATGTTACCAAATCACACGGCAGACCATTAATTCAAGTCCATTGAAGATCCCAAGATCAGTAGAGCATGTCAGGGTGCTGAACAGCTACATGCAGGGTTCAAGCGTGCCGTAAGCTAGAGACCATTCCCCGAGGCTTCTCCTTATATACAGGAAGCAGACCACATCCCTAAAGCAGCTACTCAGCTGCTCACAGTAGATTCCTCCATGGAGTTGATTACCAGTCTTATCATGGGGAATACTGCATCCAGCTGCCCAGCCACTCATCCAGGCCCAGCCAAGTTGATACACAAACTTAACTACCATAAATCCAAATTCAGAGTGCTGGCTCTAGGGACTAGATGAAGGCCCCTTGCTCGACTTTGGGCTTCAGTTCTGCCTCTAGGTCCCAGCCCGCTGGAGCTGGGGCTTCTTTCTGACTCACGCAGCTACTGGCTAGTAAGGCTGACATACCCAAGGTCAACAGGTAAAATGATGCAATCCCAAGATTGGCAGGCCTGATTCAAGTCAGGGACAATCCTAGGAGTGGCAGATGACACAGAGATAAAGACTTGGCCAAATGCAGAATGCAAAATATGCCAAAGAGCTAGAGACCTTTCCCAGAGTGCTTCCATATATGCTGGAAGCGGGCCACACCTCGAAGGCAATACCCTTTCAACTGATTAGGTGCTTACACCAGATTCCACCAGGAAGGTGATTACAATCTCATCATGGGGAATAACTACATCAAGCTGCCCAGCCACGCAAAACCACTGCCCAGTCAAGTTGACACACAGCCTTAACTACCACAGATGGTATATTTTAGGTGCCCTGAAGAGTACATTTTTGATGAAGAGTACTGCCCAGTTGGCAGCATTTCCCCAGCATGTTTGGTATTTGCAGTGATTGGCAAACTGGAATGTAGGATCCTAACTTCTAGAACATCTTGGGTGATTGAAGAGCTATTATTGACTCTCACTTCAGCAGTAGTTCTTGATTTGATTGATTCCAGTGTTGTTTCTGGCATTTCGGTGACCTTCCAGGCCCTAGCACCTTTCCGCAGGCCCCTGTGAAGTTGTCCAGTAGCAATTAATTCTCAGCTCATCATTACTGCTACTGTGATCACCCTTGGCTATAAGAGAGGTTGTGTGCTCACGTACTTTTTGGTTTTGGTTGCAGCAATAGGAAATGCCTTTGCAGTCCTGAGCAATCCTGACAAGAGACTCCGCTATGATGAATATGGAGATGAACAGGTGACTTTCACTGCCCCTCAAGCCAGACCTTATAATTATTACAGGGACTTTGAAGCTGACATCACTCCAGAAGAACTATTCAACGTCTTCTTTGGAGGACATTTTCCTACAGGCTAGTATCAGCAAATTATTGTTTAAATAAGCAAATGCACACACGCACATGCATACATACATACTTGTGACTCTCAGCAAGCTCTTGTCTAAGGATCTGAATAGAGGGTCAGTGGTATGGTACGAACAGCAAGGATTTGGAATCAGAGGCTCTGGGATTTGAGGCCATTTTCCAGTTGTGCATGATTTTAACAAAATTACTTAGTCATTCTAACCCTCGGTTTTCTTCCATGCAGTATGGGGCTGATAAAATACTAATCTCACAAGGCTTCTGTAAGGTTAGATATTTTTCAGTGCTTTATAAATAAGTAGCAAAATGCCTATTCTTATTATTGTTGTAAAATAGAAGTTGTATAAAGATGAAAGTTAGAAAAGTATTCCCAGGAAGTTGGAGTTGGATAATTAAATGCCCAGGGTGTAAAGTGAATGTTATGAGTTGATATTAAAGACACCAATGACACATCCTGTTAGTGGGCAAGGAAGCAGACGTGAACATGTCAGACAGGGTCCGTGGCCCAAATGCTCTCCCTTTACTAGCCTCTCAAGGTTTCCTCACGAGTTGCAAAAGACTGCTTAAATAAAGTCAGAAGAGCTAAGTGCATTCTTTTTCCAGCTGGTTCACTTGGCTTACCTATTATCCTGTTTTGTTTTGTTTTTTTTCAGTGAATAAAATGGGACAGTACCCTCAAAGAACCTAGTTGGGAGTGAAGACCATGAAAATGACAAGGAAGGGGTGTTTTCCATAGTCCATACTAAGTATTTGTTTTTCTTTCTTTTAACTAGGAAATATTCATATGTTTTCAAATGTGACAGATGATACCCACTATTACCGCCGGCGTCACAGACATGAGAGGATGCAGATGCAGAAGGAAGAGGAAGAAGTTAAACCTCAGGTACCTAGGAAGGAGAGGAGAGTTGCTGCCCATAAACAGTTGTACTAAGCTGACCTTTATGATGTATGATCAGGTTTTAGAAATTAAACTTGAGATATATTGCTAAAATACTTATTAAGAGATTAGAGGCCATGGTAAGAATTGGATAACTTGCCCGAATAGGCCAGAATGGTGTCCCCTCTGCCCCCCACCTCATTTTTTGCTGACTCTTCCAGGATCTCAGTACCCCTCAGACAGTGGAGCTGTCTTCATCTTGACTGCATGAAATAGGCCCCTTCAGAATATTGAGATGTAAAGGGGTATTTAAGATTAGTGATCAGGGGACTTTCACGAAGCTCAAGGGCAGGCAGCTTAGCTGTCCGTCATGGCAGTCGGGAGCTGTCAGGCACCCAGGCAGCTGTGCTCTCCATGACTCCTTTGGGCCAGATTGCATCTCCAGGTTTCCTGCATCTCCAGGTTCCCTGCATCTCTTTACATCTTCTGTGTTCTCTCTAAGCACTCTAACTTGTTCTACTTCTTGCAAATGGCCAGTCCACAGTGCCTGGGAGTATGTGTTTTTTCTTCAAGTGACTGCCTAGCAGTGAAGGCTAATTAATGTCAATTCCAGATTCCTAGTAGGGAGGATGTGATTATCCCTGCTAGAGTGAGCTGTTCCTACAGTCCAATCAGCTGTGGCCAAGGAAACAAACTTGTATAGTACTAACATGACTCTCAGAAGCCCTTCTGTGTGTGGGTCCCAATCTGGGCACATTCCCCATTGGTGTCTGCTTCACTGGTGTTTGAAAAGAGAGCTTCAGGATGATACTGGATATCCATCCAGGTGGTAGGTGGGCCTCCTTCAGCCTTCTCATTAGAGAGAACACTGGTTGTTTGGTACACCTCAACAGAGAGTACAGTCTTCCCAGAAGAGCACTGGGTTTTGTGGACCCTTCCAAGTAGGGCATTGGTAATTTGTATTTTCTTTGGGAAAACTGTCCTATTTTCCAGTGTGTTCTGTATTGAAGCAAGCTCTGGTGATGTAGTACCTAAGGCATTTGACTGCTGACCAGAAGGCTGGCGGTTCAAACCCACCAGCCACTCCTCAGAAGGAAGATTGGGCAATCTACTTCCATAGAGATCAAAAAAATAAACTCATTGCCATTGAGTTGATTCGACTCATAGCAACCCCTCCTTGGGTTTCCGAGGTGGTATCTCTATGGAAGTAGATTGTGCAATCTAGGAGTCGCTATGAGTAGGGCATTGGTAATTTGTATTTTCTTTGGGAAAACTAATACCATTGTGTTCTATATTGAAGAATAACATTTACACCAAATACTTCTCTTTTTCAGACTACATATTCTGCATTTATCCAGTTACTTCCAGTCCTTGTGATTGTGATTATATCTGTCATTACTCAGCTACTGGCTGCTAATCCCCCATATAGTCTGTTTTACAAATCGTAAGTCAAATGTTTATGAATCTTTTTTAATGACAGTCTGGAAGGTGAAAGACTTGAAGGTTTTGATGATACATTAGTAATGTTTCATTTCACCTTTCACTGTAGAAAACACTGATTTTATGTTTAAAGGACCAGCTGGATAGCAATAGTGCAGAGATTTTTAAATACGTAGGCATCTCATGTGCATCTCAAGAGATGAATTGGTTTGTTCTACAGTGACATCATCTGGTCAGCTGCAGAACAGCAATAGATGGTTTCAAAAGGGCCCATAGAATAACTTGAGCTTCAAGTTAAATCCCATCACACCGCGTTAGAATTGGAAAGAACCTTACTGAGGTTGTGATAGGATCACTAGATTCTTTTGGGAACATATCCAGTGATTATTTTAAGTTTTAAAAATGGCAAGAAGTGGGACATTTGGTCAATGATAATGCTTCATATCAAATTATAGTATCACATTTCTTTGATTTTGCCAAAAATACAGAAATTCATTGTAATACTGGTTTTCACATGCGATTTGAAGCTCTGATTGGAAAGTTTTTTTATTTTCAATTAATTATTTCAGTTGATTCCATTCTCCAAGTTTAGTCCCTGGGCCAGCATCAGCAGCATCAACTGGCAGCTTGTTAGAAATGCCAACTTTTGGACTCCACTTTACACCCATTAAATCAATTCTGGGGCTCAGGACAAGCAGTGTGAGGTTTAACAAGTCCTCCAGATAATTCTAGTGCATACTAAATTTTAAAAATCACTGGATTAGGTTTTTTTTTTTTTTTCCTAAATAATAATGAATAATGAGTTACTACTCATTATTGTAGTTTAGTGGACAGAAGTCTTACAAAATGTGGAATCCATGAAGTGATATGTAATAGGAAAATGTCTTCCTTAGTAATCTCTGCAGAATGAAGATTATTACTCTAGGTCAATCTTTGCTCTTTTTTTAGAGAGGAAAGCTGAGATTCAGAGAGAAGTATTGCCACCAGGTCAGACTGGCTTGATTCCCTCTGTTTCTCTGCTTCCTGTGTTTCTCCATCTGGTACTGCTACCTCCTTTTTTTGTCAGGTCAGGAGAACAAGCAGGCCCTTGCTCTGCTCATACCTTCCCAGAACGAGGCAGGAGCAGTCTGAGCTCAGACATTAGGCAAGGTCCCTAAGCAAAGAGATCAGAGGAGAAGGCTTGAGAAAGGGCCCAATATAGCTTCTTTAAGGTGGGATTTGTCCAGTTTGAACAAAATCTGTTTGAATTTTGCACATTGTTTTAACCTGAATTTGAAATCCCTTTTATATTTCCATATGGTTAGAATTTACTTAACCCAGACCTCTTAATGATTCTGAGAGCCAGATACCATCAGATGTCTCAGGCACTCAGAGAGTTAGAATGCACCAGCGTTGAAATCTTTTGTCTGAGTTTTTTTGTAGTTCTCACTCAGCGACTATATATAAAGCACTTTTTATCATGTCCTCAGAATCGTGCTAAGTTGGTACAAGCCATCTGGTTATTTGTAAATAGTTTACTGCAGTGTTAATCAGTTTATTCAGCTAGCATTTAGCAGAAGCGTATTCTGCCAGAGTACCATGGTAGGTTCTAAATACAATATACGTGTGTGTGTGTGTGTGTGTTGTTTTGTTTTTTAAAGCATTCGGTGTTCTTTCATCATATAAAGCAGCATGTAAGAGGTGAATCATTTAAGAGAATAAACTATATATGCCAAGGCTGAATTCACAGTATGGACATGCTCACATAGTATCGATAATGATTACATGATACTTGCTATTTTGTTAGGGAAATAGAAAATGTTGGGTGTATTAGCAAATGATCCCAGCATCTGCCCTATGAAGAGAAATGAGTGTGGCATCTGTGAGGCCAGTGCTAAGAGTAATAGTGCCAATTATAGCAAACTCACCTGAGCCTCTGTCCTTGTCTCAGGACCATGGGCTACACCATTTCTAGAGAAACCCAGAACCTGCAGGTGCCTTACTTTGTGGATAAAAACTTCGACAAGGCCTACAGAGGAGCATCTCTGCTTGACCTGGAGAAGACGATAGAGAAGGATTACATCGATTACATCCAGACGAGTTGTTGGAAGGAGAAACAACAAAGTAAGATGCTCTGAAAGGGTCTTAGCAGGTAGCCATGACTCCCAGCCAGAGGCATCCCCAGAGTCCTGATCCTTTGGCTCTCCTTGTTTGGGTCATACATGTTTGTGTGAACAGAGGCAGAGAACAAAGGTTCATTCAGGATACTACAAACAATAGGAAGTTTATTGACAGGATACATGTGGCCAGGACTTGAAAATCTTAGGAACTTGAGCAGTGCTAGCAGCCTACCTGTCTGTGTCTCTGTCACTCTCTGGGTGTATGCTTCTCCCTCCCCATCTGTCCTACTCTCCTCCCTCTGCCAACTGCCTGCCTTTGCTTTTCAGGCTTTCCTCCTTTATAACCTTGTTTAGGGAGCTCTGGTAGCATAGTGGCTAAGACACTTGCCTGCTAACCAGACGGCTGGCGGTTCAAACCCACCAGCCACTCCTCAGAAGGAAGGTTGGGCAATCCTACTTCCGTAGTGATACTGCCTCGGAAACCCAAGGAGGGGTCGCTATGAGTCAGGTATGACTCGACGGCACATAACAACAACAACAAACCTTGTTTAGCCATGGTTTATTGTGGTTGCTATCCTCTAGCTCTGGTAGCATAGTGCCTAAGGCACTTGACTGCTAACCAGAAGGCTGGTGGTTCAAACCCACCAGCCACTCCTCGGAAGGAAGATGGGGCAATCTACTTCCTTAACGATACTGCCTCAGAAACCCAAGGAGGGGTCGCTATGAGTCGGGTCCAACTCAACGGCACATAACAACAACAACAACATCCTCTCTTAGGAGCTAAGGCACTTGACTGCTAACCAGAAGGCTGGCGGTTCAAACCCACCAGCCGTTCCTCGGAAGGAAGATTGGGCAAACTACTTCTGTAGAGATCCCACCTCGGAAACCCAAAGAGGGGTCACTATGAGTCAAATCAACTTGATGGCAGTGAGTTTGTTTTGGTTTGATTTGATCCTCTTTAACCACTCTCCCAAATTCCCCAACTTCATCTATCAGTCATTGGGTTTTTTGTACATTACAAGCTCCTTCTTTTAGTTCTCATTGCGAACTGGTTTGGTCTACAGTTTCCTAATTCCACATTCCAAAGAGAGAAATCAGATTGATCCAGCCTAACTTTTTAAACCAGATCAAAGGTTTGTAGGTTGCTGGACTTGAGTCAGGTACCCCTACCAACATCTAGTCAGCTGTGGCAATGCAGAACAAAAGGTAGAGCCTGGGTCTGCTCCTTCAGTAGAAGTGGGTTTGAATAGCCCTTCCGCTCTGGTAGCATAGTGCCTAAGACTGCTAACCAGGATGGTTCAAACCCACCAGCCACTCCTTGGAAGGAAGGTTGGGCAATCTACTTTCATAGTGATACTGCCTTGGCAACCCCAAGGAGGGCTCGCTATGAGTTGGTCCAACTTGACAGCAGTGCATTTGGTTTGGTTTTGGTTTCCACTCTGTTTTCTCCTTTGGAAACAATGGGAAGGAGCTTTGGTGGCAAAGTGATTAAAGCACTTGGCTGCTATCCAAAAGGTTGACAGTTTGAACTCACCAGCCACTGTGTGGAAGGAAAAGGTGGCAGTCTGCTTCTGTCAAGATTATAGTCTTGGAAAACTTATGGGGCAGTACTGCTCTATCCTATAGGGTCACTACAGACTTGGCAGTGGTGGGTTTGGCTTTGGTTTGCTTTGGAGACAACAGGGATGACAGTGTCGGCAACTTGGCTTATCAGTCCAGTGAGTGTTTCTAAGTAGTGCTGGTAGCAATGTAACCCTGTCTCTGAGTCAACAGGCTGACTTTTTATCCTATTTGACTTGCTCCCCACCCCAGCCCAACCCCACCCACACACACACTCTTAATAACTGTATCTTATAAACTTCCGCACACACACTCTTAGTAACTGTATCTTATAAACTTGGATTTGGTTAGTTTTTAAAGATCAAATTCTGATTCATTTTTAAAAACATTATGGGATATTATTAACTATATAACAGTGTCTGATAAAATTAGCTCTTTAGTCACAGTGCTGCTAAGCCCTTGCTGACCCACCACACGCTCCCAGCCCCGCCCCCAAGTTAATCTTCCCTTCTCCTCTGTTCTTAAAGGACTCTGTTCATCCTGCTAACTTAGTCCTGGTCACACAGTGTTAGGTTCCTTAGGTACATGTCAGTCCCCCTGCTGGACTGTGGGCTCTCTGAGGACAGGGACCCTGTCTTACTAATTTTGCACCCTAGGCCCTGGCACAGTCCTTACTTAGGAACAGGTATTCAACAAATGTCTTTGGAAAAGAGGAATTTCAGGACTAGAAAACAATAAAAATGCTGAGGATTATGAATAACAGTAGGCTTAGTGTCTTACCCCAACAGACCTTGTCTCTGCGTTCTATTTCTGTAGGGCCAAGCCCAGCTGAATTCTCAAAGTACGTTAGGACATTGGTGGGCAATAACTCTGGGGTATAAAATGGAGCAGAGCAGAAGGAGGAAGTTGCTTTTTTATTGAACAAAGGACCTGAGAGATCAGGAAGTGCGCTGCCCCAGTGTTACATCAAGCTTTGCAGGTTTTAAAAATCAGAAAAGAATTTTGGAGCAAGAGAAAGGCTTTGGATTACAAAGTAGTATAGAAATTTAGACTTGTTGAATTGGCAAATTTTGTGTTATATATATATATTTATGATAATTTAAATTTTTTTTTAAAAAAAGGAAGGGTAGGTGTGGCGCCAAATCAGATTAAAACCATAGGATATGTCCTAAAAATCCCCATTAGTTTGGGCCCTAGGAAGGTTGTAGATTCATTGCTTTCTGCAAGAACTGGATGCAAATACACACACGCCACACATATCTCCTATCTTCCTTTGTGGCAACAAGATGCTGGAACTGTGCAAACTGCTCACAGTAAGAATTGCATCTAAGGTGGATTCTGGGCTTTTGTCCACATCCTCATCGAGCCTAGTTTCAGGAATTTGGTACTCTCCAGGTACAAATAAAAATCTAGTGGGTAAGCATGATGCATATACTTACAAGCTCCAAACAGGGTGTTATCAGCACACATCCCTTAAAAATCTATTTCTGGCATTTAAATATGGTGGCTGTCCGGAGCCTCCACACGAGCCAGTGCCATTTGAGAACGAGCAGCATCTGTCCTCCGGATCCAGCAGCAAGTGCAGCCAACAAAGTTAATTTTAGCACTTGGAGGTTGTAAAAATAAACCCACTTGAGAACAAAGTTCACTCTTGGCCAAGTACCAAATGGAAACTGCTTTTAGCAAAGTTAGCCATTGTTTTTTTTTTTCTTTTTAATCTTTTGTCCATTTTTTTTCTCTGATTTTCCTTAGAATATTTAATCTTAGAATACTTAATGAGTAATCCCTACTGTGAACACTAACTGCCCTGTTTACTCCTTCACAGCTGCATCTGGACAATAATCCTGATGCCAGGGGAAGTGGCCTTGCCACTGGGCTACAATGAACAAAAGTAACCAGCAGGAACTGCCTCTTGACCTAGCTGAGCTGAGCGCGGCACCTGCCAGATGAGCACTTCTTTCCTTGCCCTTAAGCTTGGTAGCAGAGTAGGTAGTAGCGTAGGCTTTCAAATGGGGATAAAATGAACTTTCTCTTAGAGTGTTTGTGTGGACTATACAAGATACTGTGGATTTAACTCTTTGCAGAGTGTCTGGCATGCAGTAAATGCCTGGCTCCTGGTGGAGTCCTGGCCTGGCTTGGCTTTTCACCGTGGACTGGATATGGGTTCACTGCCAGCCCTGTCTCATGGGCTGAATCATGAAGATAGTTGGGATCTGTTGGAAACTTGTAGCTGTCAAGTCTCTGATCTGGGTTCTTGTGCAGAGTGTTCTTGGGAGAGGCTCTGGGACTTACTCTTTTGGCAATTTGCCTGAGTCAGTTTACCTTTAAGGCTCAGTGCTCTGGCCATCTGTTATACTAGCATTTGAGGCAGGGAAAAAGAAAGACAATATTTCATGTGAGCTTTCTGATAAGAAGAAAAGATGTAGTCTCTTAACCTTGCCTCTCCTGTAGAATTTTTGTTGTTGTTTTACTTACTTAGAAGTTACTGAATATTAACAGAAGAGAATATAGTCAGAAGTGTACCATATTCTTTGAGGTGACCTTTTACTCGTTGAAGGAGGAAAGAGTCATTGGCAGTTTGAAGGAAATTTTCTCAAAGCATGGTATGGGGGTATGAGACATGGTTCCTTGAAACACTGACATCGCACTTGGTCATTGCTCTGGGGCTGGGGGCTGTGACTGGGTTTCAGTGAACTTTATGTAAAGCAATGTGATGTTTTGAGGGAAGTATTAAAATATGTGCAGTTGTTAGAGGGAAGGATATTATCTTTCCTCAACTTCATAAAAAAAAAAAAAAAAAAAACACTGCCATCAAGTCGATTCTGACTCATAGCAACCCTCATTGGGTTTCCAAGGTGGTAAATCTTTATGGAAGTAGATTGCCCCATCTTCCTTCCATGGAGCAACTGGTGGGTTTGAACTGCCAACCTTCTGGTTAGCAGGCAAATGCAACTTCACATAGTAGTCTTTAATCCAGAGAATAGTAAGAATCAGTAGCCCTTAATGTTCTCTGGAGTGAGATGTTAGGCTATGAAGCATTTGAAAAAATTCAGTAAACAAAAACCCTAAGGAAATCATTTCAGTGAAAAGCAAAGCCATATATGTTGCATATAGGAACTGAACTTCAGAGGGCCAATAGCATATGATTTTGAGGAGGCCTCCTGAACAGCTTTCCCACATGCCAGAGGAGCAGGAGAAATGCTGTTAGTCCCGAGCACTGGCCAGAATGCAGGAGGCAGAGGGTTTTCATCTGGGTGTGGTACATGTTCCCCCCTGAAGCCCCATCACCTGCAAGGATGACTGTGCCAAGGCCAGCTCTGGCTAGCGGGCACTGCAGGCATCCATGCCAAGAAGCGAGGGCACATTGTTCTGGAGCCTGGGAGACCTGCTGCTTGCCAAGCAACTGCTGGGCTATAGCCCAGGCTGTATGGACCTCTTTGTAGAGCGAGGGTTTTCATGCATATCCACCCCTCACCCTGGAGTCCAGTACTTAATCTGCACTTTGGGCCTTATTTGGTGTAAATAGAATCATTGTGAGCAGAAATGCCAGACAGTGTTTTGTGCTGGTAGAAACTTATTCAGAAATCAATGCCCATTGTTTCCTCTGGCAAAGTATTAATTCCTATTTCGAGGCAGTTTGCTGATTAATCAGACAGGTGCCTCCCGTTCCACCAAGGAAAGCAAAATCTGTCAGCAAGATGATTAAGAAAGGATAGGCATATTTCACAATGATTAAAATAGCATTTTCACAAGTATGGTCCTTTAAACATGCCTTCTGTCAGAAGTTTTCAGAAGCCGCGCCCTCCACCCAAGCATGCCATCCTGTTGTACACAACACATGTCTGGAGGTGCTTTTCAGGCTTTCCTTCCTAACATGGCTCTACCTCACAAAAGAATCAAAAGGAGAGGCAGCCAAGCCACCAGTGACTCAAGGAAGACAGCAGAGATTATCTTCTGGTTAAAAATAGAATGACCTTCTCACCATGGAGAGCAAATGAAATTCATTTAGTCAAGGAGACAAAGGTCACCAGATCCAGATGATTTCACTTTTAAAAGAGCTCAGCTGCCTTTTGGCCTTTGAGTTGTGCATCCCTCATGTGGTACGGGAATGAAGAAAGCCTCCAGCAACCTGGCCTTCCATAGAAGGCATGCCCACCAGAGGTGCCTCTGTATCAGTTAGCATGTGTGAGTTATGATCCAGCAACACAGGGGGAAAATGGAGCAGCTGTCTTTGTTTCAGATGACAGGAATAGGCAGTTGGACTCCATTCCCTCCCGACTGCCATCTAAATACCACTGGTAGGAAGGCTATGAAGCAGTCTCCTCTTACTGCACACGTGCAGGTTTCCTAAGTCTGGTGCCAAATGTTTTATTGATAAGAACTAAGTCTGGTGCTTTTATAGTAGAGCACAGATACTGTAGGTCTCCAGGATCACAGGTGTCCCTTAATCCTCAGCACCTGACGTAGTATAGCTGCCTACTGCATGTTTCTTGAATAAATGAGTAAATGTTTCTTAAACTTAATTAAAAGAAAAAGCATTAAAAAAAAAAAAAAGTAAAAGTTTTGATTCCAGAAATAGGGAATGAAACAAAAGATCTCACCTTTCTTGACGGATTGGTTACCTCTTGTTTTTTTCAGAGTCGGAGTTGACGAATTTGGCAGGATTATACAGAGATGAACGATTGAAACAGAAAGCAGAATCACTGAAACTTGAGAACTGTGAAAAACTTTCCAAACTTATTGGCCTACGCAGAGGTGGCTGAGAGGATGATAGTCCTACACAGGGTTGGAGTTTTGCTACACATTGCTATTTATGTTCCTAATTCCATTTTATAATACAAAATTAGGAAATAATGAACATTTTGCTATTTGCTAACTTTATTTGCTGGGCAGAGTTGAAGGAGCATTGAGCCAAACTTGTCATCATAGAATCCTTCCTGGGATTGGCTCCAGGGGCAAGAGACAGTTCATCTAAATTGAATTAACAGCAAAGAATTTGATCAGCTCCCTGTTTGTACCTTGCCTCGCCTCCCTCTATAAATGCATTTCAGGGCATCCCAAGCATTTGCTTCCCTTTTCCCTTCTTCAGGTAAGTCTCCATATCCAGGCATTAAAAAAAAAAAAACCTTAAAGGCTTAGCCAAAGTAGTTTAGTATTAATTACTTAATATGCATTCCAAGAATTATACCTTTCCTTCATTAGAATCATCATCTCCCCAAAGATTCAGCCTTTGGAACATGCTGAGGGGAATGCAAAGAAATTTAAACTCATTGTAGCAAATAGTTTCTCATGTCCCTAATCTCTGTTCAGAGTTGCCAGCATTTGCAGACTGCCTGGGTTGAGGTTCTTTTATTTCCTCAACCCTCTCTCTTGTAGAGGGCCCAGAAATGAAAAACTATTGGGCTGTGAAACAGTTCCTCTGACAATGGAGCCGCAGGAAGCAAGGACCATGAGTGGAGTAAAAGGCAAGACTGAGTCTCTCAACTCCTCACTGCAGGTCTGCCTGTCCATCGTAGGACCCAGAGAATGGTTTTTTGGTTTTGAGGATTTTGGTTGGTTGGTTGGTTGGTTCGTCATTTCCCCTTGCAGCATCATGTTTGAACTGAGACCCTATACCCTGCCTTGGACAGTGGTCAGACCCAAGAGGTAGCATTACTCAAGCTCAGGATAGAAGGGAAGCTCCTCTCTCTGGCTGTGGGGGGACCAGCACCACTTTGTTTAACCCAGTGCCCTGTAGTTCGTGATACAAGATGCTGTTTCATCCATTCAGCATATTAAATGCCTACCATGATGCAGAGGCATTCACATATATTTTCTTACTTAAGCTTCTTTATGACTCTGGGAAGTAGGTGTATTATTCCTGTTTTAATAAATGAGAACAATGACCCAGAATGAACGAATGGTTTACCTTGGTCACCCAGCTGGTAGTGGCAGAGCTAGATGGTAGGCTGACTGTCTAGTAGACTGTGTGAAATCATCGCCATCACTCAGGTGATTCTAGTCAGATTGGTAAAGCAGGGCATTTCCTAATATGTCCTTGTCCCTCCCACTCTGTGCGCTGTTCCCTTCTGTGGCAGCCCTGCATCCATTCAGGACTCTCCACACAAATTCTGTAGAAGTTCCACGAGACTCACCGGTGACAAGGGAAGAGGTAAATTGTTGCCTGGGTGATGTGGTCTGACTGCCCTACTGAGGTGCGCTACATAGATTAAGCTACCCAGATTATCACGAATCTCTGAACGTGGGAGTCCTTTTTTTAACTTGGAAGGTGATGTAGTCTAAATTCCATGTTTTCTTCAGGACAGAACATTCCTTCTCTGTTGGAGAGAGAATCTACATTAGAACTGATTTCTAAAGCAGAGATTCCCCTTTCAGTTCCACAGCCATGTTTTAGACAGAGGCATCCAGCATGGTTCAACATACATCCATAGGCCAGGAGGGGGATCCACAGGTACACGGTGGGGTTCTGGTGGTTGATATGGAACAGCTGTTCAGCTGGAGGGAAGGGGAGCAATGCCAGAGGTAGTCAGATTTTGGTCCCGCTGGCCAAATTAAATCTATCTTCTGTTTTTTTTTTGGGGGGGATCTCCCAGACCTCCTCTTAGTAACTGAGGAATTGACACTGTAAAATGTGCCCATGTGCCAAACAGGCTATGGAAGGTGGGTTTTCTGCACACCTAAAAATCAAATCTCTTCCCAACGCCAGCCTCTGCTAGAAAATGGGCCATAATTCAACTAATTTGACAGGTTAGGAGGCCCTGCTCTAGATGCTCATTCCATGGCAAAGATGTCATCTGTGACACACTAAATAGTGGCAATACTAATTTCATTAAATGTCAAGTCTAGTGTCTGTTTTTATAGCACTGATGGAACTGTTTTATTTATTACCTAGAAGACCAAAGCAATCCCATCTGGTTTTCTTGAGGAAACAGTTTTTGCTTTCAGTTGAAGGATAGTTTAATCGATTTGGTATTATCCAGAATATTAATCAATTATAATTTCCTGGTTTATATTTTAGATAAGTTATCTGCATGGTGGTAAAAATAGCTTTTTCCTCTTGCCTACATCCTTTGGAAGGTTTCCTGATCATACGTAAACTCTTTGGGTAAGTCTTATTCTTGCTGTCAGAACGTAGCACACAGCACTAGCCTGTTTGAACATTACTGCAGATTGTAGATGTGGCTAATGGGAGTAGGGGTAAGAAACAGGGCTTGTGGCTCAAGCAGAAACTGAAGTTCTCATTCATTAGAATGAGGGTGCTCTCTGCACGACATGATCAGCAGTGAGGAGGAAAGGAAGAAAATCTTTCTTGTTACAAAGGACCCTGCAGCTTGAAGGAATCCATGTCCCTAGATTAGCAACCCTTGGGTTTATCTGCTCAACCCAGAAAATTTCTGCACTTCCTCTTGAAGCCTCACAGCTTGAGAGAAATGGCTGGTAAGAAAATACTGTTGCTACTGCTTTTTGTTGCAAACTATTAGCAATTACATTGAACTCCAAACCTCCCAGGAACATGGGAGCCAGCAGCTAGCCAAACTATGTGGTATTCTCATTTTCATCCTCACACTCAGGACTGGCTTTGTGAGGAGGCACTGTTGGTATACCAGCAGCTTTCTGTTAAAACTGGCCACATCTGTAAGTTCATTGTAGCTGCATGCACTGTTCCTCACAGGAGCTAGCACTTAATTTGTATTTGCTTTTCAGACTCAATTAAGATATAAGCTTAGCATCCTACTATATTTATTTTTGAAGAGGGCCATGTTACTATACATCTTATATTTTGAGCCTGTATTGTTGATACCTTGTGCAGTGACCACCAAGTAACTATATGCCCAAGTTTTAGATATTGATTACATCATTTGCCTCACACTCAGTATTTGGAATTAAAGATGTGAATGTTCTGTGATCAGAGCCAGGGCTGACACGGATGGAATCAGCTCCTAATTGAGTAAGAGTCCTGTAAAATCTGGTTACCTGATCCACTGCATCTGGATTGAATGTGTTTTAACAGAGCAAAAAAAATAAACAATTTTATATAAAAAGAATGGCTTTATATTTTTTCTTTGTTCTTTTACCTTTACCCATGGCATCCTTAGGCAGTGTACACTGCTGTACTCCCTTAGATGCATTTACCAAAACCAAACTACACTCACTGTCACCGAGTCCGTTCTGACTCAGGTTTCCAAGGCAGTATCTCTGTGGAAGTAGATTGCCCAACCTTCCTTCCGAGGAGTGGCTGGGGGGTTTGAACTGCCAGACTTCTGGTTAGCAGTCAAATGCCTTAGGTACTATGCCACCAGAGCTCCTTTAGAGCCACTTAAGACTGGAGAAACTGTTGATCTGTGTATGTCTGTGTGTGTGTGTGTGTGCACGTGTGTTTAGAATAATAGATAGCATTGGTGATATCACCAATTCTGTATTTCTTTTCTATCAGGTAACAGCAGATGCAAAATATTTTAGTCAATCTATAGATCAGAAGTATGCCTAGCATCATAAAATCACGTGTCATCCCAGTTCACTGCTGGGTTTGTTCCCAATGATCCACATTTGGGAAAATCTTGGTTTAAAAGTACACCTATGTAAAGAGCCCAACTAGTCAAGGTACCTTTCATTTGAAGGAAGGTTGAAATGAGATTCAATCTGGCAAATACTGAATCTACTGTATGCCAGGTGGCTGAATTTTGGGATGGGGATTGGGGAACAAGTGCTCCCATTCCCATGAATGGGATGGCACTGCCATCCATCCAGGTACAAAAGTCAGAAACCCAGGGAACTGTGTGTGGTATACTTAATTTAGTGTCCCCAAAGACACCTGATATGCATGCCCTTGTATAGTCCCTTTTTCTGACCTGGGCTAGCCTTTGGTCTGCTTTGACCAATAGTTGTTGTTATGTGCTGTCGAGTCAGACCTGACTCATAGTGACCCCGCCTTGGGTTTCCAACGCAGTGTCACTACGAAAGTAGATTGCCTAACCTTCCTTCCGAGGAGTGGCTGGTGGGTTTGAACCACCAGCCTTCTGGTTAGCAGTCAAGTGCCTTAGGCACTATGCTACCAGAGTTCCTTGACCAACAGAAGGTAGTGAAAACTGGCAGCTTCCATTTTGTGCTTGGAGTAAACCAGCCACCATGTAAGAAGTCCAGTTACCTCGAAACCACTATACTAACCACATGGAGAATCATGCAGAGGAGAGCCTGGGAACTGAGCTGACAGAGCTGAGGACCCAGACATAGAACCAAGTTGAGCCGTTTGCCCCACCCCAGCTGATGAGCGGAGCAGAGATGAGCTACCTGGCCAAACCCTGCTCAAATTGAATTTGTTGTTGTTGTTGTTGTTATGTGCCGTCGAGTCGGCCCCGACTCATAGCGACCCCTCCTTGGGTTTCCAAGGCAGTATCACTACGGAAGTAGGATTGCCCAACCTTCCTTCCGAGGAGTGACTGGTGGATTTGAACCGCCAGCCTTCTGGTTAGCAGTCAAGTGCTTTAGCCACTATGCTACCAGAGCTCAAATTGAATAGTTGTGAGAAAATAATAAAATGATTGCTATTTGAAGCCATTATAATTGGTGGTAGTTTATTCATAACAATAGATAAACCAAAACACCTTGACTCCCTTCCTCATGTATCCCTCCATCATAAATCCTATCAATTTTATCTCCAGAACACTCCACTTTCTTTGTCATCACTGACACCATCTGACTCCCAAACTACCACTTAAAAACTATACTGCAGTTTCACAAGACCCCTCCAGTGTGCACACCTTGCTGCAGCCAGAGATCTTTTCAAAGCAGAAATTGGATCGTGTCACCCTCTTGCTTAAAATATTTCAGTGGATTTCAATTGCGCCTAAAATAAAAATCAGTTCTCCTGCCCCTCCTTGCTTTGCTAAGTGCCTTTTGGTTATCCTCTAGGTTTCAGCTCCAACATCAGTTTCTTACAGAAACCTTCCCTCACACTCCAAACTGGGCTAAATCTCTCCTTAAATTACTCTTATTCTTCTCTTCCTTAACATCTATCATAGCTATAATGTTACTTATTTGAATAATGACATAATTTGGGTTTTACTTGGGTGTTTACTGTTATATATCTCTTCCACTAGACTAAGTTCCACTCTGGTCTTATCTGAGAAGGATCTTGGAGAGAGTCTTACCTGAACTTGCTCCAAAAATGCTTTTTTTTTTTTTAACACTCTTCCACTCAAAAGATACATCTGTGTCCCCTCCTGTTAAATCTGGACTTTGACTCCTTGGCCAACCAAACAGAGCAGAAATGACAGTATGCCAGCTTTCAGGCCCAGGTATTAAACTGGCAGCTTCCATGTCCTGTCACTTGGGATGCTTGCTCTTGAACCCAGCCACCATGCTGTTAGAAAGCCCAAGCAGCTCATGGAATGGCACCAAGACCCTTGGCCTTCAGCCCCAGCTGAACTTCCCAGCTGACAGTATCAACTTTCCAGTCATATGAATGCGCCATCTTGTAGAACTTTTAGCCCTCAGCTGAACCATCCCAGCAACACTGCATGGAGCAGAAATGAGCTTTCCTCCGTTGAACCCTGCCCATATTGTAGATTCATGAGCAAAATAAATTATTGCATTGGGTTCTTTTTAAGCTCTACATTTTGCAGTGATTTGTTACACAGCAATAGAAAATTGGAGCATCACCAAAATGACAACGCTGTGCTGAAAGGCAGTCCTTGCTGGGGGCAAAATCAGAGAGCCATTTGTGATGTCATGTCATCCTGAGCCTCACTGAGCCCTGGTTGGTCAAGGGCCCAAAGTGCTTATTGACATATAGAGTGGGAATCTGTGGCAGTCCTCTGCCAAGATGACCGTCCCTCATATTCATGTTCCTCTGCTTATAAACCCAAGGAACTTGCTGCTGGAGTCTATTACTGGCTCTCCAAGGTTTTGCCCCAAATCGTGGAAGGCAGCCTCTTTTAGCTGGTGGAGTTGAATATTGTAACAAGGGTTGTCAAGCAGCATCTCATGATAGACTCTAGGGAGGGGACACAGTACATGAGAAAGACACAGGGAGGAATATGCAGTTTTGTCCAGAATAATTCAGGTGAACATTCACATTTGGCAAACAAAGTTCTGAGATAATTCTGTTCTGAGGCACACAGCTTATACCCCTACTAGGGAGCTTTGGTAGCATAGTGGCTAAGACACTTGCCTGCTAACCAGACGGCTGGCGGTTCAAACCCACCAGCCACTCCTCGGAAGGAAGGTTGGGCAATCCTACTCCCGTAGTGATACTGCCTCGGAAACCCAAGGAGGGGTCGCTATGAGTTGGGGCCGACTCGACGGCACATAACAACAACAACAACAACAGGCCTATATGGAACAAATGGTTTGAACTTAACCTAAAGGTTGGCCTTTTGAACCCACCCAGTTGTCCTGCAGAAGAAAAGTCCTGTTTGTCTTCCATTAAAAGATTACAGCCTTATAAACTCCTGTTTGTAAGGCCATCCCATTTGTGGTATATTTTTTGTCAGAGCGGCACTAGGTAACCAGAACAGAGGTTCTGGCTTTAAGTCCAAGTTGGCCTTAACAAACAGGAGTTTATTCTTACAATTTGGAGGCTTTATGTCCAAGTTCGGGAGCTCTGGTAGCATAGTGACTAAGGCACTTGACCGCTCACCAGATGGCTGGCGGTTCAAACCCATCAGCCACTCCTTGGAAGGAAGGTTGGGCAATCCTACTTCCGTAGTGATACTGCCTCGGAAACCCAAGGAGGGGTCACTATGAGTCAGGGCTGACTCGACGGCACATAACAACAACAACAACAAATGTCCAAGTTCACAGTGCCAGGTTCTAGGACTGGGTGAAAGCCCCTCAACCTTGGGGTCCAGCTCTGCCTCCTGCTCCCGGCCCACTGGAGCTAGAGGCGTTTCTTCACTCAGACAGCTGGCTGCTGAGGCTGAGAAGCACCAAGGTTGACAAGGAAAAAGGCACAGTCCCAATGTTACCAAACCACATGGCAGACCATTAACTTAAGTCCATTGTAAGTCCCAAGGTTAGCAGAGCATGGTGGGCTTCTGAGCAATGACACAGCTAAATGCACAGTCCAAACGTGCCATAGGCTAGAGACCATTCCCCAAGGCTTCTCCTTATATACGGGAAGCAGACCATATCCCAAAGGCAGCTGCTACTCAGATGCTCCCAGTAGATTCCACCATGGAGCTGATTACCAGTCTCATCATAGGGAATACTACCACCAACTGCCCAGACATTCAACCAGACCCAGCCAAGTTGACACACAAACATAACCTCACAGGAGGCATTGAGTTTATGCTAATAGGTGGTGGAATGTTTTGGAAAAGGATAGCAATAATGGTGGCACGACATGAAAACTGTAATCACTGTCCCTGAGCTGTAAATGTGGAACGCTGGCCAATGTCTTGTGTTAAAAAAAAAAGAAGATGGCAAGATTTCATCTCATGTACTTTGGACGTGCAATCAGGAGGCACCAGTCCCTGGATAAGGGACATCATGCTTGGTAAAGTAGAAGGTCAGAGTAAAACGGGAAGACCCTCAATGAGGTGCTGCAACAATGGGCAGAAACAAAGCAATTGTGACCATGATGCAAGATGGGCAGTCTTTCATTCGATTTTACATTGGGTTGCTATGAGTCTAAATCGACTCCATGGTACCTAACAACAATCCCTTTAGGTTCTTCAGGGCCTCCCCAGCACCCTGACATGATCACACTTGGCTCTAGGGTGACTGCCCAGACCCCTATATCAAAGGCTGATAACTTATCTTGGATGAAGTCTTTCTCTTTTATCTTGTTTCATTGCTTAGATTCGAGCCTAAGTACCAATTATGTTCCTAGGAGGAAGAGCGTTCACAGGAGGCTGAAGTTTCATACTCTGGGAAAATGTGGAAACCAGTATGGGAAGAAGCAAGTGAAGCTAAAGATGCCGGGTTCCTCAGGGTCCTGCAGTTTTACAGGCCCTGAGAGAAGCCTGAGGACCAGTGTTTGAGTTTTGCCGGCTCACAAGCATTTACAGGGAGTATAAGCCGGGCCTGCCTGCTTAGCAGCGTAACACACTGCGTAAGAAACACAAGTTATAAATGATGTGCAAATTCCTTTTGAACATACATTTCTAGAGGTTGTTTGAGAGTCCCCGGCCCAGGCGACTTCTTTAAGAGGCTGGTCTCAACCCAGGTAACAGAGGAAGTGACCGCCCCCGGTTGCCAGGGTGCTCTGTTGCGTCTTATTCTCATTGGTGGGCGACCGTGGCAAGGCACCCAGCGGCAGCCATTTCCAACGAGCTGGCGGGGGCGAAAGATGGAGACTCCCCTCGGGTGGTCGCAAGGGGGGTCAGGTTCCGTGTGTCTCGCCTTCGATCAACTGCGGGACGTGATTGAATCTCAGGAGGAATTAATCCATCAGCTGAGGAATGTGGTACGCAGCCAGAAGAGCTGGGGGAGAGAGAATATTGGACGCCTCTTGGTGGGGGCGGGGCCAGACTCTATCCCACAGACTGTCGTACGTCAAGGGGCGTGGCTAGCGCACATTTCCAATGGCGTCATCAGGGGGAGACGGGGCCCGAACGAGTCCAGATTGGAGGCGGTGGGGCCAAAAGGGACGGGCAATCACGTAAATTTACCAAGGAATTTTAACCGAAACTCTCATTGCTCTCTACTCTTTACCTTTGGTTGCCCCAGGGCCTGGTAGATATGGCCCCATCTATTCACTAAGCCTGTTTTCTCCTTTTTCTTTAATTACTGCTTCATTTCCAAAAAAACATTACTCATAAAGGTTCACAAATACTAATCACCACAATATTGTAGCTAACACACCAAGAAATTTGACAGAATCAGCGAGTATAAAAGCACCGAGAGCAACAAAAACAACAGCAGTTCTTGTAGCAGGGTCAGATGAAACCACGTGATTTGAAGCGCCATTGTCATTGGGTAATAATGACAGCTCTGACCAGAGCCTATTAAAAAAAAGAAAGCCCACTGCCATCTAAGATTGAAAAAGCAAATTAGTATAGAGTTTTAGTCATGTAGGTATATTGATACATGTACTCTGGGCTTATGAAAAATGTTTTTGTTTTAACTACAAGGGTATTGTTAAGAAAATAATAAATTTGTCCTGAAACACTGCACAGACATAGACAGTCATTCTGCTGTCACCCTCTCTGACCCAATGTGGTCCACATCCCCCACACTCCCTTAGTGTTTTCTCATTTTTAAGTGGCGATGACTTCACTGATTGCCCAAGGCTATAGTTTGTATGCAGAGAAATTATGATGTCCCTTGTACTGTGGACCCAGTGTCAAATTCAGTGCCACGCTGAGTACAGTAAGCACCACTTTGGCCCTTACATACCTTAACTTAAGGACATCCAAGCTCTCTATGTCTTTTTGCTTTCTCAACCGCACCCCAGTTTATAGGGTGAAAACATTGGAGCCACAGATTACCTGGACAGGCCATGGTATAATCCTGGCCAGTTGGAGTTCATGGTTTTTCGTTTTCTTTTTGTTTTCTATTTTGATAAGGTTGAGATGTTTCCCCATCTCAGAAATAAAACTGACATCCCATGTATTTCTTCTCTAATGGTTGTAACTTAGAAAAAAAATCCCTTCTGGGAAGTTGGATCTGGGAGTGAGAGGAAAGAGACATGCTTTGTTTGCTCCCCTAATGCCCCAGTTCAGCAAAATGTATGCAGCTCTAGGCATTGAATTACTTTCAGTTCCTTGAAGGTACCCAGATCCTCTTGGCAGCTGGCATTAGCACATGTATTTCCACCATCTGGAACATTTTTCTCCTCCACCCCTCTTCTTCTGGCCCACAACTACTCCTTAGTCAGATTTAAACTCTGATGCCACCTACTCTGGAAGCATTTCCCCAGACTGGGTCAGGAACCTTCTCTGGATGCTACAGTCACTTATGCTTCCCCATCACAGCACACATGTCTTAGAAGGGCCTGGTTATCTCCAAGAAGGGTGTCTCCTTCTTGAAGGTAGGATCAAGAGCTGAGCCTCAGTGAATCATGTGGAACTGAATTCTCCCTACTTGAGGCCTCAGTTTGATGCCCTGGGCATCAACCATTATCTATCCTTGATCCTGGTCCCTAGAGGGCCCCCTCCCACCTCAGCCCCAGGCCCTCCCTGAGCCAGGCTCTGTTGCAGATGGTTCTCCAGGATGAAAATTTTGTCAGTAAAGAAGAGTTCCAGGCAGTGGAGAAGAAACTGGTGGTAAGTCATGACCTCTTCAGGCTCCTAATCCTCCCCCATTTCCCAGGCCCCTGTGGTTTAGGAGTCATTGAGTTTTGGCCTTTGAGTCCTCCAGCCATAGTAATGAGGCAAGAATCTTCCTGTACTCTGGCTTCTCTATGTCCCTCTGAGAAATGTGACTGGTTAGGAGAGCCTGAGACCCTAGGTGACTTGGAATAATGAGGTTACTGATGCTGCCCCTGCAGGAAGAAAAAGCTGCTCATGCCAAGACCAAAGCCCTCCTGGCCAAGGAAGAAGAGAAATTGCAGTTTGCCCTCGGAGAAATAGAAGTGCTGTCCAAACAGCTGGAGAAAGAGAAGCTGGCCTTTGAAAAAGCGTGAGTGGGCTTTGGTAGAGGAGCTGTAGGATTGGGGATCCCGTTTGCCCACCAGCCTGCCTACCCTCTGTCTCTCTTTTCCTACCCAGGCTCTCCAATGTTAAGAGCAAAGTCCTGCAGGAATCCAGCAAGAAAGACCAGCTTATCACCAAATGCAATGGTAGGCGGGAAGTCCGTGCTCCCCCCCACGCTTACATACATGGGCTCTTCCCTAACAGCCCAGTGCCCGGGTCCAGGGCAGGGTTTCACCCCAACTTCTGTAGCCGGCTGAGGATACAGGAAAGCCCAAGTGGACCACAGCCTCGCAAAGGCCTTCAAGGACCAGGCAGGTCACGGAAATGAGGGAAGCATTCAGCGTACAGTATTCTTCACAGCCATAAAGAAACGGGCTCGCTCCCGTTTTTCTTGAAACCTACAACCTTCTTAGTCCACCTTTTGTTTTCCCACTTTTGATGGGTATTAGAAATAGTGTACTTTACTCATAATTCTTAAAAGAGGAACAAGAGGGCAAGCACAGTTCTATGTGGGAGCTGACCTTTAGCTGTAGGGTCGAGGACCCGACACAGAGGAGGGGAGAGTGGTGGTGTGGAGAGCCATGCTTCCTCTCAAAGGCTTAGTCCCTCTGTTGTGGGAAAGTAGCCCAGTGTTGTCAGGTCTTTAAAAAAGAAACTGGAAGCTAGGTTTTAATGGATGCTTTTCCATTAAGCGTCTCCATTATAATGGCTTTTGAGCATGGGCAGCTGATTTAAACTTGTTTAAAGCATCATGTGGGCCAAATAGAATACATCTGTGGATGGCACAAACAATTAAGACTCAACTACTAACTTAAAGGTTGGTGGTTAAAACCCACCCAGGGATGCCTGATGATCTGCTTCTGGAAGCTCACAGCCATGAAAACCTGTGGAGCAGAGTTCTACTCTGGAACATGTGGGGTAGCCATGAGTCAGAACTGATTACTGGTGACCCAGCATTTTCACCTTGGCTCTACACAGATGCTTGTGGTCGGCTTGATGGCTGGTCGGTGCTGGGAGTGGTGGAGCACTTTCAGTGTCTTGAACTCAAGAATCCCTTTCATTTTCCTAGAATGATGAACTCCCATTACCTAGCTAAGATCTTTATATTATTTCTGTATGCAATATCTGCTTCATTAACTGCAACAGATCTCTCAAGTAGGCCAGAGACCAGAGCCCAAGCTAAAAAAAGGTTCAAGGGCCTTCCTTGTGGGGCCCCCACTTGGAGCCTTGGGCACCCTCTACCACTACCCACCAGCCCAGCCTGCTGTCTCCTCTGGTGCACTCTCACTGGTAAGATGCCAGCAGATAGTTTTGATCTGGCCAGGTGAGTTGCCAGGCCTCATAGCCCCCCACTAAGAGCTTCAGCCAGGGCCTCCTGGGGCCCAACAGATGGTCACTGCATCCATATCCAAGGCTGCTTATCCTCTAGTCCTTTCCCTCTCCCTATTTCCTGGGTCTCCAGGACTTCCCTAAAAGGAACTTGTTTTATTTTCATAATGGAACCAGAAACATTTTCCCTTGAGGGCATTTCCTTTCTACAGAAATCAAATGAGGCCCCACGACTCTGTGTCTCCCAGTGGAAGGTGTGTGTGTGTGTGTGAGTCATGGGGGCAGGGCCCGGCCACATCCTCCCAGAATGTCCTGAACCACCCCTCCAGTGGGGCCCATGTCCTCCCTGAGCAGATCTGGTAACCAGAGCCTCAGTTGGCCCATCCCCCTCACCCTAGCCTCCCTTCCTGTGGTTTAAGTTTGGTTGTTACCCTTCAGAGTCCTTTTTTTTTTCTCAAAGGGATTTTCTAACCATTCTCTGATTTGAGTACCACAGGTTTTTATTTTAAAAGACTCACAAATTTGATTCTTTTTCCCAAAAGAATTCCACAAGCAATTCATCCACATTAGCTGATGTCCTTGGAAAGGGATGTTCAGTAGTCCTAGTCCTGTGACCCCGTGAGCCCATGTCTTTATTCTTCGCCTTTACTGTGTCTCCTCTTTTCCATCTATGCTTTAACTTTTTACCAGATCTTCTCCTCTAAAATCTTAAATGGTTCAGCACTTTTGCATTTTCAGAGTTTGCATTCTAGTTAGTTAATAATCTGTGTCCAGACTTTAAAGACAGTGAGGTTCTTGACCTGTGAGGATCAGAACTTTCCAGGGCTCCATTTATATAAACCAAGGACCTTATAGCCCCATTGAATTTTGACTCCAGACACAGAAAGCATCCTTGCATCTACTGAGCACTTAATTTTGGGCCAGGCTCTGCCACCACTATCTCACTGGGTCCTCATCCTCTTTACCCCACTGTGGAATGGGGGCTATCTCTGTCCCCATCTTATGGATGAAGAAAGAAGTCAGAAAAGTGAGGCATCTTGCCCAAAGTGCTCATATTGTCTGATCGGTATCAACTTTATTGAAATGTAGCTTGTTCTGTTCTCTGACTAGTTCCTGAGTCTTAACTCTCCTTTCAGGAGCTGTTTCCCCAAGGGTAGAGACCCTGTCTTCTCCCACCACCCCTGTAGCCCTAGCACAGGGTGAGCATCTAGCCAGTCCTCATTAGTTCTGGTTGGACTGTGGTGACTCAACCAGGAGATGATTGTATACCTAAAATCTCCAAGAGACAGTCTACCCACTCCACAAAAAAATTCACTCTGTACCTACTATGTGCCAGGCACTGTTCTAGGCCCTAGGGTTATAACTGTGTAAACAAAAATCCCAGTCCTTCTGGAGGTTACATTCTAGTAGGAGAAAAGAACAAATGAGTGAAATATATAGGTGTAAGTGTTAGGAAAAATAAAGCAGGAAAAAGGAATAGGAAGTATTGGGAAGGGTGGTAATTTTAGTCTCACCAAAAACGTGGGATCTGTGAAAACCTGCAGAGTTGAGGGCAGGCACCATCTATCTTCTGCTCTCTCCAGGGCCTGCCCTCATGTGGGCCACCTGGTCCAGACACCATCATCAGACATTACTTCCCATCCCCAAGACTCCATAATAAAATCATTCGTACTAAGATATTAGCAACTACTTGTGGAGAACCCCTAGAGGAGGAGCCAAGTTCAGAAAAGCTCCCGGAGGGAATATGTTATCTCAGGAAGGAGCCTGTGGGATGGGCTCTCCTCCCTTCCTCTCTCCTCCACAGAAATTGAGTCTCACATTATAAAGCAAGAAGATATTCTTAATGGCAAAGAGAATGAGATTAAGGAGTTGCAGCAAGTTATCAGCCAACAGAAACAGTTCTTCAGGTGAGGGGTTGGACCAGGCTGGGGGCTGTGATGGAAGTGAGGAACTAACCTCTAGCCTCTACCCGAGCTGCCCCTAGCCCACATCCAGTCGACTGCGTTGCAGGAATCACATGTCTGACTTCCGGATCCAGAAGCAGCAGGAGAACTACATGGCCCAGGTGCTGGACCAGAAGCATAGGAAGTCCTTGGGGATGCAGCAGGCCCGGAGCCAGCGTCTCAGGGAAAAATAAAATGGTTGTCTCCTTCCTGTTCTCTGGCTGTAGCACCCGACCTATGCCTTCTCAGCTCCAGGGATCCCACACCCTGCCTTTGCTATTCCTGTGGATATTCTCTCCCCAGGCCTGGCCAGTGACCTGATCTCTAGGGAAAGGATGAGTAGAGGCAGCAGGCATGCTCCTTCCTTCCTCCCTGTCTGCCTTCTGGAGCTAACTCCTGGGCCTGGATGCCTAAGTGAGGATCAACTTACCAGGGGATGGGTGGGGGCATGCCTTAGACCACCACCTGCTGGCCCACTCCTGGACTCAGAAGGGGATGCTACTTAAGCTTCCAGCCCCTGCTACTTCTTTCCCTTCCTGGGGTAGGAATGAGGGTCCTTGGGCTTGGAGAATTATAACCTAGAGGGAGAAGCTGACTGTTCACTCCTACTCACCTAGTCACCACTCCTTCTTACTCTATATTTAATCCCTCATATAAACAGCCCTGGTTACCCCAGTAACACTGCACCCCACTCCCAGTGCCCTGGTAAATTTAACTCTCCCAGCTTAGCTATAGGGCAGAAGGGTGTGTGTGTGCGCGGTGTGTGTGTGAGTGTGAGTGAGAGAGAAGCATGGCCAGAGGCTTTAAAGGCAATGTGTTCCAGGAGCTCAATTTGAGAAATCTGTTTTCAGCACATAAAAATAATGTTATACTCGTGTATCACACTGGCCCCTTTCATCTCGGATAGAAGCTCACAGCTTTCCACACAGAGGAGGAAGGGAAAAGGACAATGCTATGTCTGTTTTTAAAGTGGGAGGCTGTGTCTGGGAAAGGGCCTTGACTTGCTCAAGTTGCCCAGGCAAGACCGAATGTGAGGGACAGGTTTATTCCTCTTAGAGGCAGGCCATCATTGAGTATGCCCTAGGTGATGATGAAAGCACATAGGCAGGGGAACAACACTGGGGAAGCTGAGCTAGATTCTCAGAGTCTAGCCTCTCCTGGGTCAGTGCACAAGAAGGGCTGGTGCTTGGTCCTTGGACTGGATGGGGGCTGAGTCATAGCAGGACCTTGAAGCCAGGCATTTAAGAACTAGTGGTACCCATTGTCATAGGACAATGGCAGGTGGTGGCTGCTTCCCCACCTGCACATGCCTCCAAGTAGTTCTCGAGGTCACAGGAGCTGGAATTAGAGACTTGTGAGTGCTTGGCCACATGGAGCTTGGCATGCCTCAGAAGCGCTTTATAAGAGAAGACCAAAGCTGTCCCAAAGGTTTCCAGGGGACTTACATCAGCATCCAGGGTTTGTTCTAGGTGCCAGGGTAGCCTGTAAAAGCTAGAGGTGTCCATTCCAGCCCTTTCCAATAGGTTCCACCAAGGGGGAACTGGGTCCAGCTAGAGACAGACTTCCTACACTAACTTTTGAACTACCTTTTGGAGTGGAGGGAGCCCTCCAGCGACCTTCCTCACTATCATAGGTTAGGGGGATGACTGGGTCAAGGAAGGAGGTGGATGCACCCCTTTGAGCTCTTTCTGGACTAGGCCTTGAGATGTCCTGGAGGGCATCCTCTACAGTGATGGGAAGACACCAGGGACTGAGGGGAAGATAAAACTGATGATAAGACCTGAGTTGCCTGGCCTAACTGCCTTAGGCTCCCAGTTCTGGACCTCAGGTAGGTTCCTGCTGTGGCCTGTTTCCTCACCTGTGATGGGTGGGGTTGGGCCTAGCTTCTGGTCCCAAGTTAGACGCCTGATTTTCCCTCACCTGCTGGTCAGCCAAAGGCTAGAGTCCCACTCCAGGCGCTCTGGCCTGCGGGAAAATAAAGGATTTGGTTTGAGGGTACGGAGGGGAGGGACAGGTCTTTACTACCGCCGACGCCGCTGGCTCAGGAGTGGACGCGGCCGCTTTAAGGCGCGGTGACCCCGCGGCCTCCGCGGGCGGGGCGGGGACAGTGCGGGCAGCGGCGGCGTCCCCAGAGGAGGAGAACGCGAGGGAGGCAGTGCGAGGTAGCGTCCCGCGCGACCATGCTGACCGCTCTCGCCCCTCCAGCTCTACTGGGGTTCCCGGGACGGCTTCCCGCGGCCCCAGCGCGGCGCCAGGACTCCTCGGATTCGTCAGGCTCCTACCACACGGCTCCCGGCTCTCCAGAGCCCCCGGACTTTGGGCCGGACGCGGAGGGCCCGGCGAGTTGGCCCAAGGTGGCCCCTGCGCCGGGGGCGGGCGCGCAGCCTCGCCTGTCCGTCAGCGCCCAGAATAGCCGCCAGCAGCACAGGCTGGTCTCGGGTTTCCAGCGAGGCCCGGGCTCCGGCCCACTGCCACTCCAGCCCCAGCTGCGCACGCTGCCGTCGGGGGAGATGGAAGTCATCTTCAACGCCGGGCCCCTGTTCAGCTCCTCGGACGTGGCGGATCGAGAGGTGCAACAGCTTACCGCGCAGGCTTTCCGCAGCCTCTCTCCGCCTAGGCCGGCGACTCCCGCCCCCGACCCACCGCAGCCCCAGGCCCCCGACCCACTGCAGCCCCAGGCCCCCGACGGTGGCGCCCGCTGGGCCACATATCTGGAGCTGCGGGCCCACGGGCCCAGCCCCACCGCACCAGCACAGTTCGAGTGTGTGGAGGTGGCGCTGGAGGAGCGCGTCGCGCCTGCAAAGTCGCGGACGGTGCCCAAGCGTCAGATAGAGCTGCGGCCTCGGCCCCAGAGTCCCCCGCGGGCGGCTAGCGCACAGCATCCCCGGCTGCTTCTGCGCACCGGCTCCCTGGACGAGTCGCTGGGTCGCTTGCAGGCTGCCGCAGGCCTCGTGCAAACGGCACTAGCGAGAAAACTGTGTCCGGCGCCCCCCGCCCAAAGTACGACCACCTCCAGCGCGCGGCAGGAGCCTGCGACCCAAGAAACAGCCCGCAGCGCCCAAGGCGTCCTAGAGGAGGCCAGATTTCGGCCACCTCGCGTACACGATGGTTGCGCCTCTGCCAGGGCTCCACGGCCGTGGCCCAGCCTCCGCGAGCGCGCGATTCGGCGCGACAAGCCAGCTCCCGGTACCGAGCCGCTGGGTCCCGTTAGCTCCAGCATCTTCCTGCAGTCAGAGGAGAAGATCCAGGAGGCGCACCACCGGGCACCCAAGACTCAGTTCCCGCGGGAGATCACGGATCCTGCACGGAGTCTGCCCTTCCAGGTGAAGCCGAGGAGCCCATCCCCGCCGTGGGAAGCTCCGAATTGGGCCATGAGGGGTTCTCGCTGCCCGCCTCCCCAGGCCCTGTCCCTGTGGGATCCTGCTGTCCAGAGCGTGAAGAGCCCATCGGTTCCCGAAGCTTCTAATACAAAGGATAATCGGAATCCGGCTGTCGAGGAAACTGTTAGCAGAGGAAGCCCTTCGCCTCCGACTGTTTCCCGGTGGAATCAGGGTGTTGCCAGGACAAAAAGTCCATCCCTCAAAGCTCCTTCCCTGTGGGAGGTTCCGCATCCGGCAGTCCGGGATACGGTAACAAGGAGGGGGAGCCCGTCGCCGCCAGCCTTGCCCCCATGGGAGGCTCCAGATCAATCTATAGAAGAACCGTGGAGCCCATCGCCCCAAGAGACGTGGCCTCCCACGGTGCAGCGATCATCCAGAGCATCTACCCAAGAGGCTCTGAATGGAGTAGCTCAGGAGGAGCAGGCACAGTCTACACCATCCACATCATCTTCACCCGGGACTCCGGATCTAACAGAGGCGCAAAGTCTGTCTACGCAAGAGATTCCAGATCCTGCCTTTCCAGGTACTCAACCGTCGCCAGAGTTCGCTGCATCCGAGCCGCACCACGGTCTGCTGGTGAGCTCCCTGAACGCCGAAGAGCGTCCGGAAGCCTTGGGTCCTGGGGAAGAAGCCTCCGGACGCCAGCGCGTGGCCATTCCGCGGCCCCGCGACGTGCGCAAGATGGTGAAGACCACGTACGCGCCAAGCTTCCCGGCAAGAACCCCAGGCTTAGGGCTGCCTGTATCTCCTGCCCACCCCCACGTGAAGGAGGACGGCACGTCCAAGACGCAAGAGCTCGAGACCCTGAAGTCCCCTGCCCAGGCTCACTACACTTCTATCTTTCTCAAGGACTTTTTGCCGGTCGTGTCGCACCCCTACGAGCCCCCAGGGCCATCCCCGAGTTTTAACACAGTCTCCCGGGACCCCTCGCAGCCCAATGGGGTCCCGCGGCGGAGAGCAGAAAACAACACAGCGAAACCCTTCGCTCGCACTGAGATCCGCCTGCCTGGTGCGCTGGCCCTGTGCCGCCGACCAGACCGAACTCCGGCAGTTCAAGTGCACGTTCTTGGCGGAGATAACCCCGACGCGGAGCAGCCCCAGCCCCTCGTCCCAGACGGCGAGGGTCGGATCAGCCCTCCAGGAGGCGCTCGCACCTCACCACAGCGGTCCCCTGTAGAGCCATTGGGGACCCACCCTCTTCGGCCACCCAGCCCCAGCTCCCCTCAGGCACACCCCAGTTCGGGCCCAGGAGTATCCCCCAAATTGGAGACACCCTCTGCGGCCCACGAGCCAGCGGCTGCCATCCAGCCTCCTCTCTCGCGGGAGACTCAAGCGTTGGCCAGCAGGACAGCCCCTGCCCAGCCTCGAGCTGCCTCAGCGCCCCCAATGGACCGGCCTCCAGAAGGCTTCTCTCAGGGGGCGCGCAGGCCGCCCGGGGCCGCGCATCTGGGGAAGGTCCTGGTGGATCCTGAGAGTGGCCGCTACTACTATGTGGAGGCGCCGCGGCAGCCTCGACTGCGGCTGCTGTTTGACCCGGAGAGCGGGCAGTACGTGGAGGTGCTGCTCCCACCCTCGCCCCTAGGGCCACCCCGCCAAGTCTACAGCCCACTGGCCTTGGGGCCCAGCCTCTATCCACCTGCCTATGGGCCCGTCTCTGGCCTCTCATTACGGTCGTCTCCAGGCCTGCCGGCCCTCAGCAGCCCCCAGCTACCCTGGGCTTCTGAGGTGGGGCCGCTAGACAGGATGTACTACCTGCCAGTGAGTGGGGCCCCCAGCCCCGCACCTCCTCTGCTCCTCTGTGCCCCACCCTCCAACTCCGGTCCTGCCCAGGAGGGCAAGGACTCTTTGTTCCCAGTGTGAGGCCCCAAGGCCTGATCCCCATGGTTAGGGCCCCCTGATGGCCTTGGAGGCTCTGGCATCCAGCACCCCGCTCTCCTTTCCTTCCATCATCTCTATCCTTGACCCATGCCAGCCAGTCTTCAGACCTGAAGTTGCCTTCAGAGAATGCCTGAAACCCAGGGCTGATGGAGCTGGAGATCAGGGAGTGGATGCCTACTTCCTCCCTCAACAGAAATGTATAACCCTTTCCCAAGCATTCCCAGGGAGTGTTGTGTGTGCGTGTGTATGCAAAAAAAATCAAGTAGTAAAAGCAATGAGTCCTAGGGCTTGGTCCCAGAAACAGGCCTGGGAGGTGTTAGGGTTCTGCAGGGGGCAGCTTGGAATGGAAGCAGAAGGCACAGGGCTGCCCCCAGAGATAGTGAACTGTCTGTCCCTCCCTGAAGGTGGGTCCAGCTGAGGTACTGGTGGGATGGAGGGGAAGGATTCTGCTATCATATCCGTTATTCTTTGGAACAGGATAAAAGCCTTGGACTGGAAAGCTATAGGAGAAGATAGGAGAAGATGACTAGATCAGAGCCCTGGTCAGGCTGGGTCTGAGAAAGGGAGCTGCAAAGGGCAGTAAGTGGAGGTGGAGCAGGGAAGTAACATGGAGAGGGGTTGTGTGATTTGTGAGGTGGGAGGGAGTTGGGCCTGAGGTGGGTTTGTTGTTGTTGTTGTTATGTGACGGTGGGTAGAGGTTAGCTATAACCCAGACTCTTACTTGGTTTCCTTTCAAGCCCTCAAAGCTGAGCTGACTCATCTTGGGTGGGTGCTCCAGCCTTTCCCACTCAGGGATTGAGTAGGGAAGGAATGAGTCCTCAGGAAGGATTTAAAGCAGGGAGAATATTGGGCTGTTGACCCCTCTGACTGGGGTGGAAGATGGGTTAGGGCTGGTAGTAGTAGGGATGGCCCTGTGTGGGGGAGGGCAGGGGGACCTGGAGCCCTCAGGCAGGGACAGAACTCAGAGCCGGTGGTGCTCCGACTGTCCTGAGGTTCTAGGACCTTCTGGCAGGCTGGGGTCTGAATGAGATCTGTATGGTGTTGGGAGTGAGAAGTGGTCTGTGCAGGGGTTCTGTGCGTAGTTCTGAGCCTGAAAGGGCTGGGCATTGTTGGCTGGTGTGTGATGTGATGAATTTTGGAAGGGTAGTTCCCATTAGAAGCAGTGTCAGAGATGAGGATGCCTCCTTTAAACTCTTGGTCTTTGGGGGGCCTGGGTCCCTTGGAATCCCTGTCCCCCTGTCCTGGACTAGAAGCTGACTGGGAGGACTATGGGTCAGAATGACCTGGACATCCCCTCTTGGCTGGAGACACTGGTCCTAATGGCATGGAGGCCCCTGCGACACCCCTGGGCCCCTCACCTCATCCTGTGTGTGCAATAAAACCCTTGCCATTGAACCATGATGACCTGAAACAACTGGTGTGAGGTGCCTTGTTTCCTGCTGTTGTCTCTTAACACCTCCCCCTACACACACATACATATAATGGCCTCTCGTGCCTAGGTATGGTTGGGTGGAGCAGACTCTAGGACCCAGGGAAGGAGATTATGTATAGTCTTTCACATACATACTGTGGCAGTCTACCTTCTGTGAGCTTGAGGTGCCTCCCAGGGAGGGAGCCCTAGGCTGGCAACCATGCCCATGGTCTCATTCCTCCAGGTGACTGAGTAGCTGATAGGCTTTGAGGTCAGTCAGTTCTGGGATCCAGTCTCAGCTCTACCCCTCTAACTGTGTGGCTGTGGACTTGTCCTTTCTCTCTGAGCCTCAGAGTCCTCAGTATAGAAAAAAGATGACAGTGACCACCTCTTCCCATAGGGTGCTCAGGATAGTGTGTGGCATATGGGCAGATCCTAGGATGTGGGAAGTGTTGGTTATCCCAAGCCCTTGTCTTGGTCTCATTGTTGCCTATCTGTAAAATAGATCTGAGATGGCTGGAGCCAGGCGGTCCTGTGAAAGAAGGTGCACACGTGGCATCTTTAGGGCCCTGGGGGAAGGGAGAAAATGGGAGGGGTGAGGTGTCAGTTCCTCATTGGGCTGGGCCAGGCATCCGTGGCAGCCCCACCACACACATGCATAAACACACCTGCACCCCAACACAACCCAGTCTTGCTGAGCGGACTCCAGGGGTCATGAGGCTGTCACTGCCACTGTTGCTGCTACTGCTGTTGCTGGGGGCCATCCCAGGGGACTTTGGGGACAGGGCTCCACTCACAGCCACTGCCCCACAGCTGGATGATGAGGAGAAGTACTCAGCTCATATGCCAATTCATCTGCGCTGTGATGCCTGTAGGGCTGTGGCCTACCAGGTAAGCCCCCCAACACTCCCCTTGCCCCTGTCAAGCCCCTCCTCAAGCCAGACCCCAACATCTACCTCAGATTCCACCTTTGAGTCCCACACTTCCACCCGTAGGCAGTAAGCCCTAGACTCAGCCTTCCATGATATTAACATCTTCATTTCATCTAAACTCTTCATGCCTGTTTCCCCATCTGCCTGCTCAACAGAAAATAAACATTCTGGGATACCCCCCAAAGTACCTTGGGATTCCAGGGAATCACTCTCTTGTCCTCTCAGACCCCTCCCTTTCCAGGTCCATCCTCAGATCTGGACTCCCTCCCAAATATCACTGGGGTGCTTTCATGTATGTGTATATGTGTGCACATGTGTTGAGTACATGCATGTATGAATATGTATTTGAATTCACCCATATACTTGCCAAGTATATCTGAGCTTCTATGTCTCTGTAGGTGTGCAGTCACATGGCCTGGGAGTACACATGCCATTGAAGACTGGACCCTGCTCCACACACACACACACACACACACACACACGTTGCTCCCATTAGCATGTGCTAATGGGCAGAGGTTTCAGGGCAGGTGTGCCAGGGGTGGGCACCTTCCACTTGAGGGTTTCCCACTCCACCACCATCCTAGGGAGCGAGTCTTGCCGGCACTGGCCTGGGTCCAATTTGCCCGGACTCAGGGAGGAGCCGTGCAGCCGGCCTCACAGGTGCTTCCTGCCCAAGTGGCTCCATTGCAACTTCAGGCTCCCCAGAGACCTGACCCCTGGGTGCAGTCCCAAAGCTCTGGCTCCTGACCCTTTCTTGTTCTAGATGTGGCAACATCTGGCAGAGGCCGAGGCCAAGCTTCATACTCCAGAATCTGGGGGGCGGCGAGAGCTGAGTGAGTCTGTATATACAGATGTCCTGGACCGCAGCTGCTCCCAGAGCTGGCAGGGGTGAGTGCCAACCCCGCCCCTACCTTCTTCCTCTGGGGGCAAGGCTGGTGGGTAGAGATCCCCACTCTCCGCTGACACCATACACACACAAGGACTCTAGCTGGAGGTAGGGGGCTGGCTGGGTTGAAGCTTGGACTCTAGAGCTGGGAGCAAGTGGGTGAGTGGAGTGGTAACTGGAGGAAGCATGGCTTCACTGGCTTCTTGTGTGACCTGATCCAGGGACTCCCTCTCTAGGCCACAGTTTTCCACCAGGGAGGATCAGCTCTGGACACTGAATTCAGCAAATGCCCATGAGGCTGTCAATTGTGCTCACCTTCATGAGGGATGAGTCCCCACCCTGGCCAGGCTTTCACTAATGCTGTATCCTTCTGTGCCCTGCTACCACCAGCTACGGGGTCCAAGAAGTGAACCAAGCAAAACGCCTCACAGGCCCAGGGCTCAGCAAGGGGCCAGAGCCAAGCATCAGTGTGATGGTCACGGGAGGCCCCTGGCCCATAAGGTAATGATGGGAGGGTGATGGGATGGAGCCTGGGTCTGGCCCTACGGGCTTGGCAGAATCTGAGCTCCTGCTGGGCTCCCCTAGGCTCTCCAAGACATGTCTGCACTACCTGGGCGAGTTCGGAGAAGACCAGATCTATGAAGCTCACCAACAAGGCCGAGGGGCTTTGGAGTCGTTGCTGTGTGGGGACCCCCAGGGGGCCTGCTCGGAGGAGGCGTCAGTTACAAGGGAAGAGCTCTAGTCCAAATCCTTTTTCCCAGTATCATTAGGCCTGGAAGCTGAGGCTTTCCTCTGGATCATCTCCACTCTGTTCTGCAGGCTGGTCACGAAGGAAGGGAGGCCTTACCCTGCACTGCCACTCTCCTTCCCTCCTCCAGTATGTGGCACTGGGGTCGGGGTGGGGGCCAAGGTCTTCCCCTCTGAACTCTAATAAAACCCAGTGATCTTGACTCCTTTTTTCTGCAAAGGATACCTGGGGGCCTAAGAACAGATATTGGTGTTTCTGCTGATGTTCCTCTTAGAGAGGAGCAAATACACGCCCCCACAACTTCCCAGAGCTAAGAGAGCTCTGCCATGGTAGGAAATGGGTGAGCTGCCAAAGGTACAGGGGCTTAATTATGTAAGGTGAAATCCCAGGTTCTCAGGTCTATCATGAGAGAAAAGAACCACCAAGGGAAACTACAAAGGCAGGCCACCTTGTGGACACACCTAGTGTGAACACTCCATGCTCTGTGCCTAGTAGACTCACTGGGCAATGTCCAGGAACCGGTCACTTTCTAGTCTCTGCTGCTTCTGACCCCAGTGGCATGGTTGGGTCCCTGCCTGAGATAGAGCAGGGCGAGTTTCCTGGAACTAGCTGGATTCAACATCTTGGCTCTAAGTCTGGCTCTGCCCAGTAACTCTTCTGTCCTGGAGCCTTTTCCTTAGGAACAGAGCCCTGCTTCCTCACCTAGATCTGGGAATCTGGGGTCAAGTGGTGCTATAGTTTGCAGTTTCATTTATGGGTGTCTGTTTCCACTGGAGCCTGGGAGGGGACCAGAACAGACACTATAATCTCCATTTGACAGACACAGAAACCAAGGCTTAGACAACACAAGAGGCTCAGGCCAAGTCCCAGACTGGGTAGTGGCAGGCTGGGGGAGGATTCAGACTGGGCGGGGGAGGTCAGCTGCTGGAGGAATGGCAATCATCCAGGACCGGACCACTCTAGATTCCCAGATGCTGCATTGCAATCCCAGCCTCTACATTCCTTCACCTGTTCCAGGATTGCCCGAGGCTCCTCCTCCACTGGGCCTCACCACAGTGAACCCCTAGACACCAGGAAGAGAGCTAGGGCCAAGGAACCAGCTGAGTTGTCAGTATATGGGGTATGGAGCTGGGTGCCTGTGATGTGGACCTGTGTGACCCTGTGTTTGTATAGATTGATTCAGAGAGACTCTCTGCAACAGAGTCTGGGTGTTGTGGGTCCATTTGCAAGTCTGTGTATCTGGGACCATGGGCAACTTCCCTGCCTGTCTCCACGTGTGGTGGTGTGTGATTTAGGTTGAATTGCGTTTCCATGGGGCTGTGTGGGGCTCTGTCCGGTTTGGGAGGAGAGGGTGGGGAGAAAAGTGCTGAGGAGGATCTGAACTGGTCAGACGACTTTGGGAACTCAGGAGCAGAAGCCAAGGAGGAAGAGGAGAGGACAGACCGACAGACGAAAGGGCTGGAGGCCGGACAGGCACACGGACTCAGGGCTGTGGCATGAAACTACTGCCCAACTGGAGAGTGGTGCTGTCTGTGGGCCCTCGTGGCAGGGCCTGGCCGTGGGCACAGCAACCCAGAAGTAAGTGGGCCCCAGGGGGAGTGGGGCTGGGGCTGGGGCAGCCCAGAGGGTAGTAGAACCTGGGGCTCTAGGCCCAGCCCCCACCAGCTGAGGTACCTTGAGCCCCTTGATTCCTCTCCTGTCTCCCCATCAGCTGGTCCTCAGACCCTAGGGGCAGGCTGGGCTGGACCTGTCGGGAGGGGACTGACCGGGAGTAGGGCTGGCCTCATGGGTTTTTGACCTGTGCCTTGCACTTAGAAAGCCCCCATGCTTCATTTGATGTTTTGCTGCTGTCATCTTAAAATTTTTAATAATTATTGAACCCATATCTGTGGCTTCCAGCCAAACAAAAGACAGGCATATGAGTTGAACATGTATATAAGGTAGATACACTCCTTGGACAGAACAATCATGGGAGAAAGAAGGGCTATTTATGCACAGGGAGACAGTTCAGGGGGCAGGAGTGCATGGAGGGATGGACACAGGGAAGAGGTAACTATGGGGAGGAAGTGGGAGGAGAGCTGTTGCATTGGGGTAAATTGTAGTCAATGTCATGAGACAACGTGTATGTGAACTGCTGTATAGAAAGTGAATTTGCTCTGTAAACTTTCACCCAAATCACAATACAAAAAAAATTCTTAATAATTTTGAACAAGGGGTCCCACATTTTCATTTTGCCCCGGGCCCCACAAATTATATAGCTGGTCCTGGTAGAGAGAGGAAGGGAATCTGGGCCCTGACACAGGGACAGGAAAGGCCAGGCCTGAGCAGTGGCGTGTGGGGAGGACAGAACTTGATCACTATGTGACAGAACTTGATCACTATGTGATGATTTACAGCATAGACTCTGGAATTTAGACCAACCTGAATTTTAGGAATTTTTTTTTTTCTAGAACTTTGCTACCTGTGTGATGTTGGTCAATTCATATCCCTCTGAATCTGTTTTCTTGACTGTAATAGGGGATACTACCACCTAATACCATGGGGTTAACATGACAGTGCATATACTTTACTCAGCATGTGGGCATTCCTCAATAACAAGAATAGTTATGATGATGATGTTAATAATTAACTGGTCATTAATAAATGGGGAAGGCCCTTGTACAGGGTGTGAAAAGCCCATTTCCCCTCCCTTTCCTCGCATCTCACCCAATTCTTGGTAAACTTCCAAGATACCCCACTGCCCATCCCACCCCCTTCTGGCCCTCTCTTGCCAAACAAGAGCAGGTCCCATGCCCAGGCTCAGGTGCTGGTAAGGAAGGGTGTACTCAGGAGGGAATATAGCAGAGGATTGATGGCCTTTATTACTATGGCCAGTTAATACATTACCTCCCCCTGGGTTCCCATTTCACAATCCAGCACAAGGGCTCTAGTTACAGATTTACTATGAACAATGTCTGATGTGTAAAGTCCTCCTTGGCTTTCTGCGTAAAGTTGTCCCTTCTTCTCCTAGGAACTGTTTACAACTGTGGCCCAGAGATGAGTGTCCAACAGGACCCCGAGTGCCAGACACAGGTGCTGGGGAAGGGATAGAGGAGTTGGTGGAGGCAGGGTGGGGTGGGGGCTGGAGGCCTTATGCTGGGCCTTCTCTCAGGAAGGGCAGAGACGAAAATTCTGATGAACTTGATCTAGAGTGACTGTCCCAAGCTGAATATGAGAATTGTGGGCTGGGGTAGGGGCCAGTAGGGGTTTCCATGATAACTGAAGGAACTTCAGGGGGTTAAAGTGGGACCCAAGTTGGGTCTTGAGCCCTCTTGGCCCCCTCTCCTGGTCACCCCCCCCCCCAATACCACTTGACTTAGGCACCCATTCCCCTGGCTAGAATGCCTGGGTCCCAACTGCTCCAGGAAAGAGCATAGTAGACTCATCCCTGCACAAAGCAGTATGAGGTGGAAGCCAAGTGAAGCCAGGGTGAGTGACAGCTGGGTGGATGGACTATGGGGGAGAGGGTGGGGCTCCAGGCTCAAACCTCACTCTGAGGAGCTGACAGGCCACTTGGACTGATTGTTTCTAGGGCAGGATGGACTCTGCCTATCCCCCATCACTCCACTCTCAGCTACTTCTTTTTCCTTACCCCAGCATGAGTCCCTGGGCTCAGCAGCCACCAGGGACCACCCGATGTCCCTGTCCACAGAGCCCAAGTTTGATATGTTGTACAAGATCGAAGACGTGCCACCTTGGTACCTGTGCATCCTGCTGGGCTTTCAGGTGGGCTTCTCCCCAGGGCCTCCTGACCCCTCACTGTGGGTTCTCTCTGATCCCAGCCTCCTCCCTAACAAGGTTATATTGGGTAACAGGAAGAGAAAACTAAGATCAACACAGTGACTGTCACCAAGCAGGGGTGGTGTAAGAGACAGAGAGGCTTAACCCCCTACAAGCATTCATCAACTGCCAATTGGAGTGGCAGTGGCAGGGAGCAGTGCCAACTCCACAAAGGCTGCAGGAATGACTTGGGGAGATTAGTGAACCCCAGAGAGATGAGTGGTAGCTCTCTGGGAATCGCTGGTGGGGAGTGTCAGTGCTGGACAGGCCACTGAGGCAAGTGAAGACCATTATTAGGGTGCCCCTGTTTCCCCTGAGCTCCGTAGGCCCTGCCTCATGCACTCCTCCTACCCCTCAGCATTACCTGACATGCTTCAGCGGCACCATTGCTGTGCCCTTCCTCCTGGCTGAGGCGCTGTGTGTGGGCCGTGACCAGCATATGGTTAGCCAGCTCATCGGCACCATCTTCACATGTGTGGGCATCACTACCCTCATCCAGACCACACTGGGCATCCGGTGAGCTGCCCCGCCCCTACCCCCACACAGACACACATAGCAGGAGAAGGCACTCTGATGGGATAAAAGAAGGCTGCTATCTACCCCTACCTGCTGCTCCTATCCCCAGGCCAGCCTTAGAGCTAGGCAGTTGGGGTCATACTCTGAGCCCCTTGACTTAGAGGACCTACTCTGGTGCTCCCCAAGGACCAGGAGTCTGTGGGCTTGAGGGGACCTGCCCTAGCTGGGTTCTCACCCTCTTAATCTGTACTCTGGTTACTCAGGACCTTGGACTTCCTGGTCCAACTGGGCCTGAGCCTGTTTCCTGGGCCTGTGAGGGTCTCTTCAACGGTGCATCCTCTTGGGGCCATCTGTGCACACCTGTGTGCACAGGCCTAGGCCTGAGTGGCCAAAGGATGGTTGTTTGAGTGGTGGGGGGAACAAAAGAAGGTTGAGTGGAGCTTGGATGCCAGAATTGGAACTTACCTGCTAACGTCTACATGCCTGGCCCTTTGCAGTGCAACAGCTGGGGTTGAGGAGGGGGCAGGTTGTAAGCTGGGGGCTTCCATTTATTCTCTTTTTTGGGCCCTGAAAATATTAGGAACAGTCTGGTCTGGGGTCTCAATGACTTCCTTCTACCCACCCTTGTCCCTCTGTCTGTCTCTGTGTGTCTGATTCTCCTCTCTGTATCCCCACCACCACCATCACTCTGCCTCTCCTCCCAGGCTGCCGCTGTTCCAGGCCAGTGCCTTTGCATTCCTGATCCCAGCCAAAGCCATCCTGGCCCTGGAAAGATGGAAATGCCCCCTAGAAGGTGGGCATACCCTGGAGTCTGTGCTGAAGGAGAGGGGAAGCCCAGGGGCCTGGAGGTCTAGGTGACTGAGTATAGGCACCAGGGTGCATCTTCTTTCTCTCTCTGTCCCTATGCCCTGTCTCTGTGTGTGTGCGTGTGTGTGCATGTGTCTCTGTTTCTGCCCTCAGAGGAGATCTACGGTAACGGGAGTCTGCCTCTGAACACCTCTCATATCTGGCACCCACGAATACGAGAGGTGGGTTTGCACATGGGGTAGAACAGGTCTGGATCTAATGAGGGGGATATGGGGGAGTGAGAGCCATTACTGAATTGGGGGATGCAACAAGGTGGGACAGGAGCTTTCATCCTGCCAGCGGCCAGGCTGTGGACTCTACATGATGACTGAGAGCTGTTCTTTGCCCTTCCCAGGTCCAGGGTGCAATCATGGTGTCCAGCATGGTGGAGGTGGTAATTGGGCTGATGGGGCTGCCTGGGGCCCTGCTCAGCTACATTGGGCCTCTCACAGTCACCCCCACCGTCTCCCTCATTGGCCTCTCTGTCTTCCAAGCTGCTGGTGACCGAGCTGGCTCCCACTGGGGCATCTCAGCTTGGTGAGCAGGCACCAAGCCTGATCCCTACCCAGCCCCAGCCCCTGCCCCTCATGTCTTGCCCCCTTAGTTCTGGCTCCTGGCCCCAACCCAGTCTACCTATCACTTCCTCCTTGTTGCCTCTGCCTCCAGCTCCATTCTCCTGATCATCCTCTTCTCCCAGTACCTGCGCAACCTCACCTTCCTGTTGCCTGTCTACCGCTGGGGCAAGGGCTTCAGTATCTTCCGCATCCAGATCTTCAAGATGTTTCCTGTGAGAAGCTGGCAGGCAGCTGCGGGTGGGACTAAGGGGGTTGGACTTGTACCCAGGGCTGAGATGGGGCAAGGACAAGCATAACATGGGAGCAAGGGCCAGAGCAGAGATGAGGTCCCAGCTAGAGTCTAGGGCAGATGCTGGGGCTTGGGAAAACGCTGGGGCTGGGGCTAGTTTAGAAGTAGGTGGTTAGCCTGGACAGAGACGTTCCAGTGTCCTCAGTGTACCCCTTGCCCCGCCTGGCTTCAGATTGTGCTGGCCATCATGACCGTGTGGCTGCTCTGCTATGTCCTAACCCTGACGGATGTGCTGCCCACAGACACAGCAGCCTATGGCTTCCAGGCACGAACAGATGCCCGTGGAGACATCATGGCTATTGCACCCTGGATCCGAATCCCCTATCCCTGTGAGCAACCCTACCAAAGCACAAGACCCCTCTACCTACAACTGATACTACAAATGAGGCTCCTGGTGACCCCAACCCAGCTGATGACATTATAAATAGCATTAGCTTCACATTTACTGTGTGCTGGACACAGCTTCACTCTAGCTTCTTGACTGAGTGAGCCCAAATTAAGCTTCCACAGCTTGAGATCTCATTACCCTCCTGCTACTATTACCCTTCTCCATTCCCCGACCTGCCAGTATCCTCATTGCCTCCATTTTCCTGTTTGTTTCTGACCCAGGTCAGTGGGGACTGCCCACAGTGACTGCAGCTGCTGTCCTTGGCATGTTCAGTGCCACACTGGCAGGCATCATTGAATCCATTGGAGATTACTATGCTTGTGCCCGCCTGGCTGGTGCACCACCCCCTCCAGTACATGCTATCAACAGGTATGCCCACCTCTCAGGAAGCAAATGTATGGTGGGTTGAGTCCCACAGGGGTAGCCTTGGACAAATAACTCTCCAGACCTCATTTTCCTTATGCAATACTCATTACTCTGTGATTGTTGGGAGTAGCTGAGGAGATAAAGGAAAACTAGTCATTGACAGCCTTCTCTGTGCCTAGCCTTTGGCGCACATTGTCTTATCCAATCTACTAAGGTCACTGAGACAGTTACTTTTATGATCCCATTGTCCATATGAGGAAACTGAAGCCCAGAATTGCCTAAGGGAGTAAATGCCAGTACACTGTGAATAGTGCTCAGACTTGACTCCTGGCTCCCAGCCCAGGCATGGAGTGGGGAGCACTACAGACAGATGCCTGCAGTTCTCAGCCCCAGAGAGCTGGCAGCCTGGCCAGGGTGATGAAAGGACCCAGGTCAGGGTACAGCAGTATCAGATTACCCAGTAAGCAAGGTAAGCATGTGCTTACTCACTAATCTGTAGTGAACACTTTCATTTTTTCACCACATCAAAGATTCTGCTAATAGGTATGGCTGGTAGGTGTTTCTCTCCCCACTCTACAGCACCTTCCTACAGACTCAAAGCTTCTTTTCAAATTTACAATCCCTGACAGGGATGGCGTACCCAGTAAGCAAGGTAAGGACGGGTTTACTTGTGTTTATTTACTAATCTGTCAGTTCGTGGACATCAAAGATGTGATGAAACTCATGTGAAATTACTCATTACAGATTAGTAAATAAACACTAGTAAGCCCAAACTTACTTTGCTTATTGGGTAATCTGCCCCTGGGGTAGTGATTGGATCAAGGTCCCCATCCACCCTTTCCTTCCAGGGGCATCTTCACTGAAGGCATCTGCTGCATTATCGCAGGGCTGTTGGGCACGGGTAACGGGTCCACTTCTTCCAGCCCCAACATCGGCGTCCTGGGGATTACTAAGGTGCCGCCCTGCCTGAGCAGCATTAAATCCCTGTACTCATTCCACGTTCTCCCATACCGGACCCCCAATTTGACTTTGCCCCGCCCTGTCTTTGAGAGAGCCGGGGGACCCAAACAAGCCCTGCTCGCTCACCCACGCTCATCCCCACCCCAGCCTCGCCCCTTCCCACCCAGCCCCGCCCCCTGACTACCCGGCAGGTGGGCAGCAGGCGCGTGGTGCAGTACGGCGCGGGCATCATGCTGGTCCTGGGCACCATCGGCAAATTCACGGCCCTCTTCGCCTCGCTTCCCGACCCCATCTTGGGGGGCATGTTCTGCACTCTCTTTGGTGAGTGTAGAGTCTGGGCCTGGGGATGGGGAGAGAGCGTGGCGGCGCGTATTGCAGTAGGGTTCCACCCTTGCCGTGCTTCAAGGGGTTTTCCTGCGTTCTCAGGCATGATTACAGCCGTGGGGCTGTCCAACCTGCAGTTCGTGGACATGAATTCCTCTCGTAACCTCTTCGTGCTCGGCTTTTCCATGTTCTTCGGGCTCACGCTGCCCAATTACCTGGAGTCCAACCCTGGCGCCATCAACACAGGTGCTTTGGCCTGTCTGCATGTCTAAGGGGAATAGGGGACTGAGCCCATGACTTTGAGCATTGCCACCTCCCACAAAAGATCCAGATTGAAAAAAAAAAAAAAATGACTTCCTGTAGCTAGAGCCACAAATACCGTCAACTCTGGGTGTTAATCAGCAGCACAGAGGATAATCAGCAGGTTTCCTTTACTGAAAACACTGTGGCCAGGTAATGGGTTTTACAATTTTATTTTTCACAGCAGCTTCATGAGATAGATACTGTCATCATTCCCATTTTACAGATGAGGGCAAAGTGAGGCTAAGAGAGATGAAGTAATTTACCCCAACTCAACACTAGCCAACAGCCAGAACTGGGATTTGAACCAACAGATGACAGAGGGTCAGCCCTCGCTGCCTCTGAAAAGGCAGAATCTTGTATGGTTTCCTCTCTGTGCCAGCTCAACAAGGGAGGGAGCACGCTGTGCAGGAGAAAGCCCCTTGGTATCGTCCACCAAATGAAGCTATGATGCCCACTGATCCCTGGCCTATTCCACAGGCATCCCTGAAGTAGACCAGATTCTGACCGTGCTGCTGACCACTGAGATGTTTGTGGGCGGGTGCCTTGCTTTTATACTGGATAACACAGTGCCAGGTATGGTTCAGCCCTGGGAGGGGGATGCAGAACTAGGCTGGACTCATACCCTCCAGTAGATGGCTGCTGAGCTGGGGCTGTGGCCAGGTACAATACAGGGTCCTGCAGGGAGAAGCAGGAACAAATGGGCTGGTGGAGTGTGTGCTGGCTGGAGGGAAAGACTGAGGCAGGCATGCCTCACAGATCTTGAAGAGGGTGGCCCAGGAGTCATTCCCAGGCACTGTAGGTTCTTTTTTTTTTTTTAAAAAAAAAAAAAAAAAAAAAAACTTTTGTTGAGAAAAACAACAAAAACACAGCTAAAATATACCCATGCAAGTTTCTACACGTGCATTTCATTAATTACATTTGAGTTGGGCAACCATTCTCACCCTCACTTTGAGTTCTCTCCCATTAACATAAACTGTCTACTACTGTTCCTATCCAATCTTTTGAGTTGCTGTTGTCAATACGATACCTTATAAACAGCATAAAAAAAGTATAATTTAAGAAAGCATAATGCTCAAGGGAGACATTCTTTACCTATTAAGCTAAATTATTGTTTGGTTTCAAAAAAACTTTAAGGAGCTTGGGTGGTGCACTGGCCAAAGCATTTGGATGCTAACCAAAAGGTTGGTGTGTTCAAGCCCACCAGCCGCTCTGTGGAATGAGGTGGCAGTCTGTTTCTGGAAAGCTTCATAGCCTTAGAAACCCTATGGAGCAGTTCTACTCTGTCCTATTGGGTCATTATGAGTTGGAATCAACTTGATGGCAGTGTGTTTTGGTTATGACTTCAGGAGTATTTTTGACTATCTTAGGGCAAGTTTCAGGCATTTACCCAGCCTCTATGGCTCCAGAAAGCCGGCCACAAGAATTTGGAATTCTGTTCTACATCCCTCTTCTACCTTTTGATCAGGATTCCTCTATACAATCTTTGATCAAAATGTTCAGTAATAGTAGCTGGGCACCATCCAGCTCTTCTGGTCTCATGGCAAAGGAGGCAGTTGTTCATGAAGGCAGTTAGCCACACATTTCGATTCTTCCCTCTATTCCTGACTCCCTTTTCCTCTGTTGCTCCAGACACATAGAGACCAATTATTATCTTTATTTCTTGAGGGCCATCAGGCAGAGATGTGCCCTTGGGCTTTTCTTATAAGACAGACACAAATGCACCATCAATTGTTGACAGAATCCACTCCAAATATGCCAACAGTCATTTATCTAAGCCCCTAACATTTCCCTTTGGTACCAATTTTTTTTTTTTTTACTTTTGATTTTGGAGGTTTACAAATTCATTTTCAATGGTTATATCACACACGTTTTGTTTCATATTGACTGCAATTCCTCACAATGTAACAGATCTCTTCCCACTTCCTCCTTATAGTTACCTCTTCCCCATGTCCTTTCCTATGCATTCCTACCCCGAGCTATCTCCTGGTGAAACTACTGCCCTTCTGATCTTCCATGATTGCTCACTCTAAGGAGTGTTATCTGATATAAATGTTCACCCTATATGCCCGTCTGTTGTTTCACTGGAAGCCACGGAGTGAGTTCAATTCCAAATCTGAAGGGTAACTTAGGAGCCATAGTCTCAAGGGTCTGACCAGGCTCTTTCGGACCAGTAAACCTAGTCTTTTTTTTTTTTAATGAATTTGAGTTTTGTTCTATATTGTTTTCCTACTCTATCCAGGATCTCCTGTACCAAGCCCTTTCCGAGTGGCTGACAGTGGTAGCTGGGCACCATCTTGTTCTGGTCTCATGGTCATTATTGGCTGAGGTTCACAAAGTCCACTAGTCCCCTGGACTAACAGTTTCCATACATCTTTGGATTTTCTTCATTCTTCTTTGCTCCGGATGAGGAAAGACCCATTGTTGCATCTAGATTACCTCTTGCAAGTTTTAAAGACCCCAGGCACTACTCACCAAAGTAGGATGTAGAATAATGTCTTTGTGTAATATGTTATGCCAGTTGAGCTTGATGTCCCATGTGATCATGGTACCAGAGTTCTTTTTTTTTTTGCAAGGATCATGGAATATACTTCCTGGGGTCCCTGAGAATTCTCCTGTCTCACATGTGTGTCCAGTAAATGTATTTAAAAAACTAGGTATTATCAGATTCTCTAATTAATAATATGCATGTTGTGTTGTTATGTGCCGTCAAGTCTGCCCCGACTCACAGCGACCCCTCCTTGGGTTTCCGAGGCAGTATCACTACGAAGTAGATTGCCCAAGCTTCCTTCCAAGGAGTGGCTGGTGGGTTTGAACCACCAGCCTTCTGGTTAGCAGTCAAGTCTTTAGGCATTACACTACCAGAGCTCCTAATAATATGCATAGTTAACATTTAACAAACACCTACTGCTGTTGTTGTTATGTGCCACTGAGTCGGATCCGACTCACAGCAACCCCTTCTTGGGTTTCTGAGGCAGTATCACTTACAGAAGTAGATTGTTCAACCTTCTTTCCGAGGAGTGGCTAGTGGGTTTGAACCGCCAGCCTCCTGGTTAGCAGTCAAGTGCCTTAGGCACTATGCTACCAGAGCTCCAAAACACTTACTAGGGACCAGTATAGAGCTAAGTGTCTTATTTCATTTTTAAAACCCATTCTGTGAGGAACAGACTATTAACATCATTTTATAGATGAGAAAACAATCAGAGATATTAAGTGACTCAGTTAATATCACAAAGCTAAAACATTGCAAATCTGAGATTTTAGGAAAATCTGATGCAGTCTGTGGCTTGCATCCTAGCCTCTGTACCACACTGCCTCTATTGGAGGGTTTCAGGAGACCTGAGCTGGATCAGAAAGGCTAGGTGGAGACAGGGATTAAAGACTATCAGTATAGGGAGATGACTGAGATTGGGGGATGGGGAGATAGCAACATCATGGCCCTCCACCTGAGCCACTAACCTGAAGCAGCTCTAGGGCCTGCATGCCTCCCTCCTCCTGAAGATCCAAGTGTCTAGTCACAGACTGTAAGAGCCAGAGGCTGGATAGGCACAGGAAGTGGGCGGAAGGTAGGCAGAGAAGGATAGGTTGGGAAAGGCCAGGGCTCTTAGGGGGATCTTAGATAGCACCAAATAATAAAGCAGCTTCTGGTAGCGGCTGCCCCTTAGGTAGATGGGTGGGTACGTAACAATGGTACTATCCCACCTAGAGTAAGTTGGGGCTGGAGCAGCCCATGCTTTGGACCCGAGACAATAAAGTGACAGAAACGAATTATAGTCTCAATGCTATGAACTCTGGGGAGACAAAAGGCATCTCCATCTCCCTGACACTCCCTGTAGATTGAGAGGCTTCTGTGTGATTGGAGTAGTTGGATTAAGCATTCCAATAAGGCATCAGCAACCATCCTGCCAGGGATCATTATATGCTTTATGACATATAATCCTGAATGATCCTTCAATGAACGTTGATGAGAAAACCAAAGCTCAGAGTAAAGTCATTTGCCTAAGGTCACAACCTGTTTCAAACTTGGATCTGGCTCAAAACCTAGACCTTAAAGATGAATTGCCCAGCTTTCCTCAACTCTTAACTTGCTAGTGGGCTACTTTGTATGTATATGCCCTTTCTCTTTACCTATCCACAGCCCAACTGTTAAGAGAGGCAGTCAATTTAGTTCAGCAAATGCCAGTAGAGCCCACAGATTGGCCCTGGGTTGGACAATGAGGGGATGTACGCAAAGTGTAAGTCACAGTTTGTCTGGGGCTCTTAGCAGCACAAGATAGGAAGTAAAACTAAGTTTAACTGAGCAGTGAGGTCAATGAGACAGGAGGGCTTTCTAGATGAGTAGGGCCTGGAAAAATGAAGGGGACTTCAAGAAGCAGAGGAGGAACACCCCATGTAGGGATGTGGAGAGTAAGCAGACTATTTGCTAGAAAGGGAGCTCTGGGATGGCTGCTGGTAGTGGTGAGGAGGTTTGTAACACACCAGTCTCAGGCCTCATGTACATACAGCTCTTCCCTTCCATTCTGCCTAGCTCACACATTATTCCCTCCAGGTGGTCTTCCTGTAACACTGAGCCCTCCCTCAGTGCTCTCTACTCTGATATTCTAGGGTATATTTGGTCTGCACTACTCATGGGGCTTTCAGCTTAGGCTGCCAGCTTTGTGACTCATCTGCTCATGTTCATCCATTCAGTATGTGAGGCACATGGAAATCTCTCCCTCCTTCCTCTGTACTTACACTGTTTCATAGCCTTTGTCAACTCCAGTCCTCTGGAAACTTCAGCAATCTCCTGCACCCCTCCCACACCTCCTATGGGAGAATTCCTAGTCATAAAATATCACTTTTACATATCCCTACTACCAATAAAGATTTAACTTGTCTTGACTTTCAGTGATTTGTATTATAAAAAAAGCATTTATTTTCCAAATATGAAATAATACCAAATAGTGGGTTTCAAAATATACTTTCCTGCTCCAAAATAAGTCTGGGCACTATATAGTGCCCCTGGGCCCAGCACATACTAACTACACTCACAGTTCTTAGTTGACAATTACTTAATCCTTCTGCCTCTTCAGCCTTAATTTGTTTTGTACAACAGTGCCTATACTCCTCCTAGAGCTGTGTTTTAAAAAAAGAATGAGATAATGAAATTAAAGCACTTAGCACACAACTTAATACATTATAAATACTCCATAAGTACTAATTATGACCAGTATCTCATGTACCTCTCTAGAATTTTGGCCAAGTTAGGAGCTCAGAAATCAGAATGAATAATTTTTTTGGACTAGAAGATATCTGAGAAAGATACTTCACTCCTCAAGTCTGACTCAGGACTAAGGTATAGGAAGGAGAGGTAGCAGAGGGTTGGGGTTGCTAGCCCTGGTAAGTGACCCCATTTCTCTCTTCCAGGGAGCCAAGAGGAACGAGGTCTGATACAGTGGAAAGCTGGGGCCCATGCCAACAGTGAGATATCTGCCAGCCTCAAGAGCTATGACTTCCCTATTGGGATGAGCACAGTAAAAAGGATCACCTTTCTGAAATACATTCCTATCTGCCCAGTATTCAAAGGATTTTCTTCAAGGTTTCCACTTCCAGAAGACACTCCAGAAAACATAGAAACTGGGTCTGTGTGCACCAAAGTATGAAAAATTACTTCCAGGAAAGGTAGGATATGTGTAGTTCTATGGCTTTTGTGGGAGGGTTGAATACTCAAAATACTCTTACGGTTTAAGCAAAGAAAACCCCAAACTACTTGGTTTCCATTTTTGTGACCTACTCAGTGTCCCCAAGAAGGCAGACTGGGCAAAAAGTCAACATACGGGTTTTGGGTGGAATTCCTTAGCCATTTTATACTGAAATAGAGCAGAACTTCCCATCTGGTGTGGGCCACTCAGAGGTTACCAGTATGCTGAAATATTCATCTCTTCAGGGTACCTGGGTGGAATCTGGGCCTACTGGAGCTCATGAGCCAGTAAAAGAACTTCAGTCATGGGCAGCCTCATCTTTGCTTGTGTATGCTAAAGAGTTATCACTTCATGATATGAAAAAGACTAATCAGCGCAACAGGAAAAAATCTTCTCATATAAGCTGCCTTGTTTCAATGTTGTGTGCCTCTGAGTCTATTCCAACTCACAGCAACCCTACTGGGCAGAGGAGAATTGACTCATAGGGCTTTTCTAGGCTGTAATCATTATGGTAGCAGATCACCAGGTCTTTTCTCCCATGAAGCAGCTAGTGAGTTCATACTGCGGACCTTTACGTTAGCAGCCGAGCACTTAAATCATGTTAAATAGAACTTTCTATGTGCCAAGTATTATTTTATATCTCAGATGTGTATTAACTTCTCAAACAATCTTGAGATAGATACTGTTAGTGTCACTTTACAGATGTGGAAACTAAGGCAAAGACAGTCACTTGCTCACTATCCAAGGATTCACATCCAGGAAGTTGGACTAGAGTCTTTGCTCTTAATCATTAAAAGTTACAAAGCTTTTCTAATTCTAGTTTACAATCTCCAATTATACTGCACTATGGTAATTTGGCAACAGCTCAGAGAGAAAAGCTCTGTAAGCCTCATGTGTTTGACAGCCTGCTGTGCCATTTATGGTACTGAGAACAGAGAACAGAGGGGCACTGGTTGTATCATGGCTCCAAAAACCACTCTCAAATTCAGTCTTGACTGTCTCTGCTTCATGGAGCTCTGGTAGCACAGTGCCTAAGGCATCTGACGGCTAACCAGAAGGTTGGTGGTTTAAACCCACCAGCTACTCCGTGAAAGCAAGATTGGGCAATCTACTTCTGTAAAGATTTCCCGCCTCAGAAACCCAATGGGAGTTGCTATGAGTTGGAATCTGTTTCATAGCTTCTTTAAAAACCCACTATATATTAACTTGTTAAGGTGGCTATCTGGTAACACTAGGGCACAGATGCTCACACCAGTGGACCACCAGGGAGAATGTGAGCAGGAATCAACTACATGGCCTTCTTAATCATTTAGAGAATCTTCCCCAAGGGCTCTTCTTATTGCTGGGAAAAACCAAAGAACTCTGTGGTCATCTTGGTTCACTACTACTGGCATTATGGAAGTGTCTTTGTTCTAGGCCAATGGCAGGTACAAATTTCAATGACAAACAACATTAAAATTCTCATGAGCCCAACAAGCTCAAGAAAAGTGCAGAGGATATTATCAAGAGCTGAGTAAGGCCATGAGGCAGAATTTTATCTGGAACCAGACAATTATTAGTTGGTTGATAGCCTAGCCCATATGAAGATTAGCCACAAATATATAAATACGCTTGTGGTAGGGGAAAGGGATAAAGTCCAGGTGAATCAAAATAGCAAACCAGCCCAATCAGACCAGCTATGGCTTGCAAAGGTCAGAAACCACAATGGAGGTTAGATTATAGAGCAAGATCAGCACTATGATTAGGCAAAAAGTTTCTTAACCATGGCTGCCCTGACCCTGCAGCCAAAGAAGATCAAGAAGGGTTAAGGAGTGGTCAGATACTTACACAACAGCATACTTGTCACGACGGAATCTAATAAAGCCTGTTCTCTTTGCACATCTTGCTAGCAGGACTGCTCTGAGGCACTGAGCCCACACTAAAGTGTTTATCACCACTGGAGAGTGTGCATTCCAGCATCCAATAAACACAAGCATCAGCTCAGTTCTACTATTATTTATTTTTTTAAATATTTTTGAAAAAATATAATTTTTTTACAATATTTTCAACTTAAACACTATTCACACTGAACACGTATGGCAGCTTAACCTACTCAAATATGAAGTTTAAGAAGCCAAAACTGTTCTAGCTTTGTTAAAAGAAAAGTTGTGCTGCAGACTATCATGATGGTTAGCAAAGCAAGGAAAAGCACCACTCAAATCATAATATTATAATTTCTTTGTTCAATTGGATTATGAGTTGGTCAAATGTTGGACTTCACACAGGCACAGCTATTATGCAGTGTACTCCTTAGAAGATGAAATTCTCAAATCATGTCATCTCCTCAGATATAGTATTATGAGAAGTCAACATTTCTAACACAAAAATGTATCACAAAAGTCAGGAAAAGTTCTCATCACTACTTTGTAACCTCATCAAAGACGTATCTTTAATAAATTACTTCAAATTAAATAGCTGGTCCTAGAAAAAGGAGATTTTTTGGATGGGATAAATGTAAACTGAAGCTTGAATTGCAAAATTTTCTTAACATTTGGACTTAATTTAGATGTACTCATTTAAAGAAAACTTTGAATATTAACAAGTAAAAGACATACGTAAGATTTGGAGGTCATTTAATTTGGTACTTTGTCACAGCTTGACTGGTGCTTCTTTCCTTGCTGTCTTTACATCAAGCCATGGGGACAATTCTATTTTAAGTAAATGTTTGACAGCTTTTTACTTAATAACAGTCTCAGCACTTTTATTAAGCATGCAAGACTAACAAAACTTTGGCAATGCATAAGTGTAACACAGTGACAAGAGAGAGCTTTTACAATTAAGTCTTCTAATACTGCCTTCACAGTGTGGAAATTGTGCTACATCCACCAAAAGAGGGCCCCATCTACTCAAATATTTTAGTACTTCACCCCAGGAACAAACTCCTTTGCATTTGGATTCAGATTGCTCTTGACCTGGAAAATAAGTACATAAGAAAGCAAGGTCATTAACAGATGGTTTCAGATACTCAGAAGCATTCAACCCAGATCCACACGCAAAAACATCTTCCAAAAGTTCTAAGAAAAAAGCAAGAACTCAGATTATAAAGTTAAACAACTCAAAATCTATGGCAGGGAAAAGAACAAACAGATGTAAATTAATTTACATCAACCTTTCTAAAAGAGACAGTACCAAAAGCAACCAAACTCACTGCTGCTTAGTCGACTCCAACTCATAGTGACCCCTTTGGGTTTCCAAGGTGGTAAAACTTTACGGAAGTAGAGTGCCCAGTCTTCCTTCCGAGGAGTGGCTGGTGGGTTTGAACCACCAACCTTCTGGTTAGCAGTCAAATGCCTTAGGCACTATGCCACCAAACTAAAATTATTTACTTAAATATAACCAGAAACCAACTGATTTCATATACACTAAAAAAATGGCAGTGAATAAGGAACTGTTAATTTAACTGTTACTTGACTTTCTTTAAATACATTCATACCATACATACATATAAAACAAGTGTTTTCAATTATGATTAAAGTGATAGGGGAATTGTTTATGGATTAATTTTACTTTATGATCCTCACTGAAAATACAGAGCTGCCCTTCTTCAATTGCTGTCTTCTAATTCCCACAGGAAGCACAGTATGTGACAGGACAAGAAAACTACATGGGGAGTCAGAAGATCTAAGTCTGAATCCCAGCTCTGCCCTAATTTCCTATGTAACTTTGGATAAGTCACCCTCTCTGAGAATTTTGTATCAGTAAAAAGAAAGGGGGAATGGGTCAAAGTCTCTAAGAGCCTTAGAGACCTGTACATTATTCCATGTCTCTAAATCTTTACTTTCCTAAGTGGATGTGTCAGAGTACAGGGAAGAATAGCTGGAAATTCTCCTCTACCACATCCATGACTGCAAATTGATAAAGAAGAAAACAGGATGGACGTCAAGCCCTAAAATGGAGGTCTGCTGGCAGGCTTTTAGATTGGCTCTGACCCCTACCATCATTTACTTGAAGATAAAAGTATAATATTAAACAACGTGTTGGAGTGATAATTTAATTTTAGTTTCATAATTTATATACAACCATTTCCTTGGACAGGATATATTCTCTCTTCTCTCAACGGAAATGTATTTACATTTTTAAAGCATGAAGTTTAAATGAAAAAGCAGTGTTCTTGAATATTCAACCCTTTAGCTGCTACAGAAGAATAAAAACAAATCTCAAAGACTGACTGAAACAAATCAGGTCCTATATTATGGACTTATACTGGATCCAGATTAAAGTTATATATTATACTCAGCAAAGGGCTTTGCTAATCGGGGCAATCAAGATTATTTGTGGCATGAGGAACACAGCCTTAAACAAATACATCCCAAAAGACTATTCAGATGACGTATCAGCTGAATTGGGTTATTGCCATTTACTTAAAAAAAAAAAAAAAAAAAAAGTACAGTGTAAATTTCAGTATTCTCTATACAAGCCTTTAGAAGAATGGCTTCCAGATGCTGGATAAGGGCAGACTAGCTGTGTAATAAATCCTCTAAGAGTGTTTCCCACCCCGTTCTTTATTTCCCATGGGAGTGCTTTTTCAAAATTAACATGTCTAAGAGGCTGATTCTGTAGGACAGGGATGAAGCTTAGAAATCAATTTTTTTAAAAAGTGTTTCAAAAGTAAGTATGATGTACAGCCAGGTTAGGAAATTGCTGCACAGTGAACAGAAGATAATTTAAAAAGTACTTCAGAGTCTAGTGGGCAAATTCTAGATAACTATCTTTTAGAATCAACTAGAGATTGTAAATATGGACAGTAAGATTAACATTCAGATTTAGAGAAAATTTGGTTTGATTCCTGAAAATTATTTATTTTAGTGAAGGCTGTATAAGGTTCTAGTCTAGTGCTGATGCTTAGTTATCACAATTCCTGGAGGAATTTTCAGTACAAATATACCATCAACATGACACACCAAGAATAACTGAAAATGCAAGTAGGTATGCATTCCTCTTCTGTCATGAGCTTGTGAAAGTCCTTACTAAATCACAGCTCCAAATGGAGTTAGGGTATCTCAACCAAAACCCTAGGTGAGGAAAAGATCTCCAAAATTTTACCTTTCAGACAAAATTTTGCAAACTTCACCAAATGTCTAGGATAAGATTAAAGATCAAAACCTGTTCATCAAGCCACTTTTGTACAGGCAAGTCACCTGAATACACTGTATTTTTCTTATATTCATTCCTTAAGATATTTAAGTAGCCTTTTAGTATAAGACCAAAAGCAAAGGTCAGAAGTCTTTTTGGTCTAAGAATAGCTCCAGAGTATTGCCACTCCATGTCATGAATAAGACTGGTGGAGGCATTTGCCTCCATTTTAAGAAGCAGCACAATTTCTGATGGGGAAGAGATGCAGAATTCTTCTTAAACAGGTGGTGGCTGGTTATTCCACTTACAGAAACATGAGCTAGGTTTTGAAAAGACGAAAAATATCTTTTTACCACAAGATCTTCCAGAGAAGAGCCATCGCTGATAACAAGGTCATTAAATTGGTCCTGGATTTGGTCCATAGTTTGGGGGAGATCTCGAGCTGGAATAAACCACTCATGTTCTTCTTCCTCTTCCAGCATTTCTTGGAAACAGCGTTCAATAAATTCTTCTTCCCATAACTCCTCTTCTATCTGGATGCATAATAGATAAAGGACAATTTATAGCACACTTGGTAAAATTATTACTAGGAACAGCTTAAAAATACCTTGAATTAAGCCATTAAAAAACACAATATCATACTTCCTTCTCTGTTTCTGTGCTAAGGCAAAAAATACTTATTATAAAGATCTGGGAAGATCTGTTTAGGGCTTTGCTATCTTATTATTAACAGAACATTCTCTTTTCCATTGAGAATGGCAGGGAAGAAGTAACAAACAAAGGAGTAGCAATGTGCACCAGAATTACCTGACATATTTTAAAATTACACAAACCCCAACTCCACCTAAAAACGAACTGAATCTCTAGGGTAAGCAGGGTCAGATCATGGGTAAAAACCCCCAAACGAGTGATTCACACTGAAGTAAGATGAAACAAATTGTTTTACTCTTAAATATCTGTCATTAGATATGGAGATGTCATCAAAGCCATGGTAAGAGGGAAGAAGCTATAAAGAAGATGGGAATAGCTACCAGAAATAGGGGACTAAAAGACAACAATTATCAATGTATTAGTGTTTTCTAAATTTGAAATCTCTGGTATCATATTTTTCTGGCTGACCAGGCTAAGAATGAATGTCAGGTAAAAACCAGCAATAACTCTGCACCCCAATATATCTACGCCCCCTTGCTCCCCACTTCTGAATTCTCTTGACTTTCACTGCAATACAGCAATAAAGTTGGCTTAAGGCAGTGGGGGTCCCAAACCCAACTGCTCACTAGAACCAGCAGGGAGCTTTTTAAAAACAGTTTCTCAGTCTCCACCTCAGTATTCCTGAGGGTAGGACCCAAAATAAGCACCCCAGCTTATTTCAACATGCAGTTGAACTTACTAGTAATCTGACAGCCACACCATCTTAACACCCAAATAAAATCAGTGGCACATAAATCCATGTATTTTATATATAAGGAACCAGATTAAAAACATATTTTAGGGAAAAATATAGTCCTATTATTTGAAGGCTGCAATGACCTACAAAAAAGAGCATGTTTGTACGCAAAACTAACTTGTCTGTTGAATTCCTCTTCATTTTCCATCCACATGTACTCTGCAAATGGATTGTCATCTTCATGAGAATGACCATTTATAATCACATCTTCATTGATGATGCTTGGGCTAGTACTGCTGCGACTTGGATCTTTCATGGTTGGCGTCAGTTGTCGTTTTTAACCCCTTAAGAACAACAATAGTTACTTTACACTCAATCATTTTTTCAGTTCTCAGTGAACATCTATTATTACCAGGTATCACAGGTTACGTGTTAGATGCACATGATTTTAATGTTAAGGAAATAGTTAAAAACAGCCTAGACTCACCTACACTAATATGCATAGATAATATGCAATGAATGCCTTAAATGCAATCTCCAAATCATTTTATTTTATATCGGATTGCCCTTGTTTTGAAAAAGAAGTATGATCTGGAAGATGTGGTCATCAAGTCACTTTATGAGAAGCAAATTCTACTTTTAAAAATGGATTTCAAAAAGTACAGATTGGGGAGACTTCCAGTAAGATGGTGGAATAGGAAGACAAGCTACACAGACCCTCTTCAACAAAGAAAAGAGAAGCTAATTGACACAGATACAGAGGATAACCCTGGAACCCTGAGCACTGAAAGGAAGGATACAGAAGTGGATTAAACTCCAACTAGTAGAAGGACCTGAATGAAAACAGTAAGGGGACAAATGGAGCTGCGAACTGTCAGCAGTCAGCCTAAATATTTCCAAGTGGTGTTAGGACCTGAGAATTAACCTAAAAATCAACTCTGCTCACTAAGGGAATTTGTTAAAACCAGATCAACCTTACAAGAGATGCTAATAGGATGCATGGACTACTGCACGGGTAGCTGAAAAAGGAAACAGCAAAGGAGAAGACAAACTGAGCTGTGGACTTTCCGCTGTCTGGAGGGCAGAGCCATTTTGAATATTTACAAGCTAAGGCCATTTTGGATATTTAAAGTGACAGCATTCTTGTTCAGATTTCAGGGACCTAAGAATAGGCTATGCTTGCCAAGGACAGCACGGACACATGGGAAGCTGATGACTGTAAAGGAGATAGGTGATGAGTGCATAAGTGCTGCCAGCTAGCAAACAGAGGAGCACAGTATCCTGCTTACTCAGATATATCCAAACAAAACAAAGAACGAAAATCTTTGGCAAATTACTCCAACATACAATCACCAGTTAAATATCAACACAAAAATGTCACAATGTCGTGGAGACAAGAGATCATCACAGTCCATACAAAGAAGCAAGATACAAGCAGTAGAAACAAGGGATGAGGATACAGACCCAGAACACATCCCTGAGAAGAGGATTGGACTTCCCTGATAAGGAATTCAAAAGAGTAATATTTAGGTACCTTCCACAGACTGAGAGACAGATCGAGGAAAACACTGACACTGAGGGAAACACAGAGAAAACCCTAGAACAATTTCAAAACACAATACAAGAAAATGAAAAATCAGAAATGATACAAATCTATGGATAGAAATACAGAAACGTTAATACTAAATTCTCAACACAGTGTATGGGCAAAGAAGAAAAGAATCAATGGAAGACAAAATTAGTGAGATTGAAGACAAAATTCAATACTTCTTTGGAAAAGGATCAATCAGAAAAAAAGACCCAAACAAAATGAAGAAAACCTAAGGTTCATGTGGAATACCATCAAAGGGAACCTTGTTATCAGAATTCCAGAACAGAAAGAGATAAATACATCCACAGAGAAAATTGTTGAATATTTGTTGGAAGAGAATTTCCCTAATAGGATGAAAGACAAGAATATAGTCACTCAAGAAGTCCAATGAACCTCAAACAGGATAGAATCCCCACAAAAAATCAACAAGACATATCATCATCAAACTCACCAAAACCAAAGACAAAGAAAGAATCCTGAAAGCAGCATGGGAAAAACGACAAGTTACCTACAAAGGGCAACCAATAAGACTAAACTTTGATTTCTCAGCAGAAACCATGCACGTGAGAAGGCAATGGGATGATATATAAAAAACCGGAAAGAAAAAGAATTTCCAAGCCGGAATTATATACCCAGCAAAATTGTCCCTTAGATATGATGAGAAAATTAGGACATTTCCAAATAAGCAGAAATTAAAGGAATTTGTTAAAACCAGATCAACTTTACAAGAGATGCTAATGGGAGTCCTTTGGACAAAGAACCAACAACAGCAAACAACAACTGACAACACACATGATGGATGACATAACCCAGAAACCAACCCAGTTATGAAAGTATCCAAAGTAAAAAGGCCTACAAAATTGTGAAAAGGGAACCACAGACATCAATTGGCAAATGAGGACAACAACAAATCAAAAAGAGGGTAAAAACTGTATAGTTACAGAACTATAAATGGTGAGCAAGTCAAGACAATTGCAAGATAGACCATACTGTTCTAAACTTGGGAAGAAAATTATAAATTACAGGGTAACCTCAAAGAAAAATGATAAACCTTCACATCAAAATTAAAAAGAGGATAAGCACAAATATTTAGCAAATACTAAAACAACAGCAGCAATGAAAGAAGTGATAACATGATTCATAAACAAAATAAGCTCAGCACAGAAAATGATACGAAACAAAGAAATCAGTAATATCACAAAGAAACACAACAAAATGATAGCAAGAAATTCATACTTGTTGATAATTACATTGAATGTCAATGGATTAAATGTACCACTCAAGAGACAAAGAGTTGTAGACTGGGTAAGATAACAGAACCCATTAATATGCTGTCTGCAAGAGACACAACTTAAAGACACATATAGACTAAAAATCAAAGACTGGAAAAAGATACATCAAGCAAACAGCAACCATAAAAGAGCGGGAGTGCCAATATTAATTTCTGATAAGATTAACTTTAAGACAAAAAACCACCTTAAGAGACAAGGAAGGTCAGCAGCAGGGATCCAGGTGAGGAGAGAGAACTCAGGCACGCCCAAAGCAGCAGGGCGGGAGAGCGGGAGAAAGGGGATTAAAAGGCCCAGGAACCTGGACAGAGGAGCAAGGATCAAATTAGAAACCAACAATAGAAAGATCAATGGAAAAAGAGTAAATGTATGGAAACAGACTAACACTCTCCTTGAAAATGACTGCGTAATGTTGTTGTTGTTGTTAGGTGCTGTTTAGCCATCTCTGACTCATAGCGACAACAACTCATAGCACAACAGAAAGAAACACCACCTGGTCCTGAGCCAGCTCCATGATTCTTGCTATACTTGAGCCCATCGCTGCTGCCACTGTGTCAATCCATCTCATTGAGGGCCTTCCCCTCTTTCGTTGACCCTCCAGCTTATCAAGCATGACATTCTTCTCCAGAGAATGGCCCCTTCTGACAACATAATTAAAGTATGTGAGACAAAGTCTGGCCATTCTCGCCTCCAAGGACCATTTCGGCCACACTTCCTCCAGGACAGACCTGTTAGTTCTTTTCGCAGTCCACAGTACTTTCAGCAATCTTCGCCAACACCACAGCTCAAAAGCATCAACTCTTCTTCGGTCTTCCTTATTCATTGTCCAGCTCTCACATGCACATGAGGCAAATGAAAATACCATAGCGTGTGTCAGGCGCACCTTAGTCCTCAAGGAGATATCTTTGCTCCTCAGCACTTGGAAGAGGTCCTTTACAGCCAATTTGCCCAGTGCTATATGTCATCTGACGTCCTGACTGCTGCTTCCATTGGCATGGATTATAGAATCAAGCAATGTGAAGTCTTCGACAATTTCAATCTTTTCTCCATCTATCGTGATGCTGCTTATTGGTCCAGTTGTGAGAATTTTAGTTTTCTTTTATTGAGATGTAATCCATACTGCAGACTGTATTGCTCAATCTTCATCAGTAAGTGCTTCAAGTCATCCTCACTCACAGCAAGCAAAGTTGTGTCATCAGCGTATCGCAGGTTGTTAATGATTCTTCTTCCAATCTTGATGCCGTGTTGTTCTTCATACAGTCCAGTTTCTTGGATTATTTGCTCAGCATACAGACTGAATAAGTATTGTGAAAGACACAACCCTGACACGCTCCCTTCTTGATTTTAAACCATGCAGTCTTCCCTTTTTCTGTTCAAACAACAGTCTCCTGGTCTATGTACAGGTTCCTCAAGAGTACAATCAAGTGTTCTGGAATTCCAATTCTTATCAATGTTATCCACAATTTGTTATGATCCACACAATCAAATGCTTTTGCATAGTCAATAAAAGAAAAGTAAACATCTTTCTGGTATTCTCTGCTTTGAGCTAAGATCCATCTGACATCAGCAATGATATCCCTCATTCCACATCCTCTTCTGAATCCAGCTTGCATTTCTGGAAGTTCTCTGTCAATGTACTGCTGCAACCACCTTCGGTAAGATTTTACTTGCATGTGATATTAATGATATTGCGTGATAATTTCCACATTCCGTGGGATCACCTTTGGAATGGGTACAAATATGGATCTCTTCCAGTCAGTTGGCCAGGTAGCTGTCTCTCAAATCTCTTGGCATAGCCGAGTGAGTATCTCCAGCAGGGCATCCGTTTGCTGAAACATCTCAATGGGTATTCTGTCAATTCCTGGAGCCTTGTTCTTTGCCAATTTTTAATTTTTAAGAGTTTGTTTCACATTCAAAATCACGTTATATTTAGTTTCACTTTCCATTTACCATGCCCAACCCTAACCCAGTCTCCTCCCCTCGATCAGTTCTTTTTGGTACAGTGACTCTGTGTATCCCTTCCACCTTCTTTCGATGCTTCCTGCATCATTCAGTATTTTGCCCATGTTGTTGTTGTTATTTGCTGTCGAGTCGGCCCCGACTCATAGCGACCCCTCCTTGGGTTTCCGAGGCAGTATCACTATGGAAGTAGGATTGCCCAACCTTCCTTCCGAAGAGTGGCTGGTGGGTTTGAACTGCCAGCCTTCTGGTTAGCAGTCAAGTGCCTTAGACACTATGTTACCAGAGCTCCTATTTTGCCCATAGAATCTTTTAATATTGCAACTCGAGGCTTCAATTTTTTTCCTCAGTCCTTTCAGCTTGAGAAATGCCAAAAGTGTTCTTCCCTTTCGGTGTTCTAACTCCAACTCTTTTCACATTTCATTATAGTAACTGGCTTTATCTGCTTGAACTGCTCTTTGAAATCTTCTATTCAGCTCTTTTATCTTGTCATTTCTT